TTTAGTTAGGATAGGTTATATAACTCCTATATATCGTACTAAATAATAATCGATTTAATATATAGCAGCTAGGAATCCTATGATTCTGTGTCCTTTAATATAACGCGAGAGGATATCGCGGAGAGATATAAATTAGTTATATTAATACTAGTATACTAATAACTTCCGATACTTTTTCGAGGAGTTAGGGGTTACCTTCGACGATTCAGGGGTTGACTCAGGTATTAATTTATCTACTGATTCGGCGACAGCGAGGTTGAAAGGTAATCTATATACAGATAGATCTATTCGAATAGAACGATTCCGGGCTTATAACTGTTAGAAATCACCGGTACTGCAATGTATGGTCAAAATGACAGATATGTATGACTCTAACTAACTAAAATGACAAGAATCCCCTATTTGACAATTTGCTGGGGCATAACTGACTAAGCTTAATATGCAATTTGTATGGGGCCCACTATCATAGCGGTCCATGTATTTTCCGAGGTGTTGAATACTCGGGTTCCCAGTCATGTATTGTAACATAGCTTTCGACATCTGTCAATAAAAATCACGTGTTACACTAATTTTGCTTACTAAAAAGGCCCACGGGCGCCCACGGTGTCCATGGGCGTATTGATAGTGCCCATCGCCCGCTTACATAAGGCCCGTGGGCACTGCCCACCCGCCCGTCCATGGGCGATGTCGCAGTCTAGTAAGTAATGTATAGTAAAGTGACTTCAGGCTCTATGTACTCCCCCCCATAGGATAGAGGTTCCAGTATGTGCCTGTTTTTGGCTAATAGAATAGGGACAACCAGGAACCATTCGATCCATCTGTCATTAGTATTATAGCGAACGGCGAACGGCGAACGGCGTTGGCGTTGTTATTGGGCCCTTCACTGTTGCTATACATTTGGTTCATAATGTACAGTTGAGTGGTAAGCTCATGACCTCGTTGGGCCATAGCATGAACGTTAACAGATCGTTCTCATTCAAAGCACCAATAAGCGCGTGGACCCTGGGTATCTCGCTTTCGAAGGAGCCTCTCATATACCAAGTATCTACCAGAGTGTTTATTAGATAGAAATGAGCAAGGATGACGAGCGAGAGTCCACGAAGGTAGTTCTGGTCGCTTCTCTCAAGCAACGCTAAGAAAGCACTAGGGAGCAAATTCGGCCAGGACAGAAGTGCTGCCTCTTCAAAGTCCAACTGGATCTCCTTGTCTGTCGGGTTTTCAGTTGATGCACACCCCAATACGGATAAAATGCGTGAATAAAATGATTCTAGGATGCGTATTGTCTCGTTGTGCGTATCCATAGCCCAGTTTAATGTCGTGGGCGGTGAAGGTTGAGATGTTGGCGTGCCCGAACAGCTGGACAAGTCATCCCAAGGATGTTCAAGCATATTCAGAGAAGCCTTGATAGAAGCGACTGCTTGACGAGCTCCGTCGGCAAATTTCACCAGGCGGGGTGAGCAACGAGAAAGCCGAGACGGTGCATTAGATGATGAACCCACCCAAACCCCCTCGCTGTGCTGTAATGATAATATCTGCCGGAGCCGGCCGGTTTTCAAAACCTGCCATTGGTCACTGATCACAGAGGTTACACCTCGGTTGAGGTATAACCAATTGAGGCGCGGGATGGTATTTGTGGGGAAAACATCAGTCATGGCGCCGCTCCTCCCGTTTATAGGCCCAGTGAGTGGGTTAAGGTCCTGAATCTCAAGGAATGCAAATGCAAATGCAACCACAAGCATTGACCCTGTGAAAACAGCTTCGGCATTGGAGGGAGATATGCGGGACACGTCTTCCCTAAAGCCTTCTAATCCTCTTTGATGATGTGCCATGATGATCGCCAAGTCCACCGTATCTGAGTCTTCAAAAACCACAGTCCTATTGGCATCGGCCTTTTGTTTGACCATGTGTATACCCCCTAATGCTAGGAGCATATGCATCAAATATCGATTTTCGCTTGCTAATTCGGGGATAATATACTGCCAAACATTGGATCGCCTCTGGTGCAATGTCATTTGTCTTGCAGTGTATAGATGATAGAACTGAAGGAGTTGCAGATCATCCATTTTTAGATCTCCATCTTGGTGTTGGTGGGATTGGTTCGAGGTGATCGCTGGTGCTGTCGCATTTATTGACAAGGGCTGGATGCAATCGAGTAGTGGACCTTCATCAGATGGCTCGAAAGAATCTGGTAAGAGATATCCGTCTTTTTCCGTGTCTGCTCTTGATCTAGGAGGTCTTTTCGAAGTAACGCGCGGGGGAGGGTAGGAACAGGGTTCGCCCCTGGATGAACATGTGCCACAAACGGGTTGAAGCTCATCGCACTTAGGGAAGTCAGCATTTAGTCGGCAAACAGAAACTAACAGGCTTAGGAGTAAGGAGGCGTACCTTAACCCTCCGGAATTTGCAAGAATAGCAACCATTGCGAGATTTGGTGTGGCGGGCGCGATGTCTTCTCACAACTCTGTGATTGTCTGCTGTGTCGGAAGCTGCCAAAGCTAGGATGTCTTCGTCCATTTTCAGAACACAAAACTTCTCTAATGGTAAACGAGAACATCCACCATGGTTGGCAACATTTGCGCAAAGTTGCAGCCTATTCTCTTGAGTAGTTGGTTAAGAAAAACCCGGCGATCAACCCCATAATCAGGGCGGTCCACAGCAACCAGAGACGTAGATACTAACTGGTCTCCACTTCCGGTATCCAATTCCGGTCCACAAGCCTGCAGGCAGGTTCATGTGAAATTGGTTTACGGACATGAATATTATGAATATTACTCATATGAAGGTTTAGGTTCAACTTCTCTTCTAGAAGTGAGGCAGCCTATTCCCACCATTACTTCGTAAATCGCTACCTAGAGGAACAAGAGGCTGTTCAAAGCCAAAGAATATAATAATAGGTAATACTGTAAGAGGACCTATTAGAGCTTTATTAGGGATCTGTTGGATTTGTCACTTTTTTCAACAGTAGTTCCATGGCCATATAAAGGCTCCGAAATTTGATTTGAACACTCACCGACCCGAGTGAGTATCCTAATCTGCCCTTAAGTTCTCTAACTTAAACTCTGCGTAACCATCGATTGTAGGATTACAGTGGTGGTCTCGAGGCCATGATAATCGCCATATATAGAGTCTGCAAGGGCCGCCAAATAACGTTTTTGGCATCGTATTTTTCTCATATATCGGAGTTGCTTTCTTTGCAGACCGATGTTTAGTACTGGTTCGTTATATACTAGAACTAAGCAGCTATTACTTGTGGGAAGGTTCCTGGAAGAAAGCGAGTCACAATTGAAGTTGAAGTTGGTCTTGTAACCGAGTCCTGATCTCATTAGAATGAGAAGTGAGGGGGGCATCGGGAAGAGAAAGGAAGAGAGAGACAGAGAGAGGTAGACGGCGCATGCTACGCATTCTCTGCATTCCATTTGTACTGAGGGTCATTGCTTAGACATATGGGCATTTGTACTTGCTATATTGTATTGACCTTTGGCATCTTGATGCTCTCGTTGCACATCAGCCTGTGATTCTGTACAATGAGAGTATGACCAAAGGCACGGAATCACGGGCTCTTGTTTCATTTAGGAAAAAAAGGAGTCAGGCTTAATGTAATAAGGCTGTAAGGTGCGGAAAATCTAAAAGCCTTATGAACATGGTATAAATCAGGCATTCAGGAATGTTGAGAACTCCTTGGATGTGTTAGTAAGATCCAGATCCTTTTTTCGTCAACAATGCTTTTTATTTTTTTCAAACATGTTTACGGTTAATCTTGCAGGGCTGTGACTGCAGATTTGTAAAGCGCAATCTCTGGCGGCTAGATGGTGCTCAAGCTCATTAGGAACGGTTGACGAAGTTGGTGAGAGCAGCGTGAGTGGCGTAAAACTCACTCTTGGGTTTGTAGCACTGGTCGAACATCAATGGCTTTGCGCCCTGCACCCAGGTGTAAGCGTGCTTATCCGTAAAGCCCCAGATGCTAAGGTTGGTGATTCCTGCGTTGGGAGACTCGCTGAAGACGGTGCCGTAGATATTAGCCTCGATCGCGTTGTCGAGCGTGTGATCATCCAGCTCAGCGATTGCCACCTCCAATCCGAGCGCCTCGTAGGAGTTGCGATCTCCGTGATCACGCCCGGTTTCGGAGCTAATTCAATGATGTGTGTATGCAGAGCGATTTCATCAGTTGGGACGCCCTTTTCCACGAATCTAGAGACTAGGTTGTAGAGTTCCTTGCGCTTGCTAGGAAATGACTGGACCAGATTTTCATTGATGAATAGCTTGGAGTCTGGGGCTGCTACTCGGGTGATACGGAAGGTATCTGCAATGTAGCCGGAAGTCGGGATTATAGCTGCTCGAGATAAGCCCGAGCCCCTAGGCCACAATATTGTTTTCTTCTGCGAATTTCACGAGGTGGCCGAGCTTATTCTAGTTGTAGTGCCCTTTGGCCGGCTTGATGATCGACCATTTCATCTTATTTTCGGGAGAGAGGATGTTGAATTGATTGGCAAGGACAGCCGCGAACTCCGGATCATTGAGATACATCGGAGTGATCGCTCGAGACCCAATAAGAATATACTGTTTGCTTGCCTCGTTCCTCAGCGGTGTGGTACCAGTGCTCGGAAGCGCATAGACTCCTTCAGCAGCAACGATGAGCACGGTAATGATTGTTGTGGCAGAGGTCTTCATGATTTTGTCCGGCGATGTATTCTCTATCTGTTTGGTACTCAACTGGTTGTGAATTGTCAAGACTGTTGTGGCAGACTCAACAGCTTTACAGCTGGGAAAATGTTGACCAGGCAACGACATAACGCCGGGACACATCGTGAGCTGATGCCTACTGCGGTGTCAGAGCAGGGTACGAACACGCTAGTTCTATACGTAAAGAGTTCGTCCCTGGTTTAAGGAAACTGACAGAAATCTGTCGTCAACTTCTTAGAATCAGCAAGGTAGCTTCCAGGGGCCTCAGTACGGTTTTTGGGGGCAAAGAAGCCGCTTCCAGGAGCCAAGTAGCCCCCAGGAAGCCCAAAGTAGCTTCTGGGGTCTTGTACCTCCACCTCGGGGAACTAAAGTCATGATCCGGTTGATAGTCTTATCAACTCCTGGAACCTCAGGTGCGGTTCCTGGGGGTGTAGCTTGCCTTTCCAGGAGTCGTTGAATGACTCATATTTGTGCGCAGGTCTGGTAAGGTATCTTGTCAGGGCTTTCCGCCACCCCAGAAAGCAGAATAATGAGTCCAGGATCCATAAGTAGGGCCCAAGGAGCACGGCAGCTCCCAAATGTAGCCATTGTATTCCCAGAGCCAGTTCGTAACCAGTCAGGATCGTAGAGTGGATTCCCAGGGGTAGTGGATGTACGCGTCATGCAGCTACTTCCCGACCTTTCGCCCATTTCCAAATACCAAGAAGAGACTTTGATCGCCTTCAAAGATCTAGCTATAGGTAAATTCATTTCAGAAGCTTACATCTTCCACACCGACATGGCGGTCCTTTGCTGCTACCCCTAAGTGGTACTATCGATCGCTAGGGCCGACATGACTCTCTGCCAGGACTATCCTCTATACTAGATGGTCTCAATGTCATCGGTGCGACGCGAAAGCCCATCGTGCTTGGGGAGATTCAGTAGGAAAGCTCGCCGTCACTTCAATACAAAAGGCCATTCTTGCTATGATCCTGCAATTTAAATCGTGAGTCATTTATCTATACTGGTACTAAGCTATCAACCAGAGTACATTCCAAGGCTCCACTGGCCCGCTCCTTCAAACACCCATCTCAACATATATAAATAACTAACTAGAATCTCAAAACAATACCCGCTCTCCAACTCATTCAAGGACTTCTAGACCCCTCTGTGCTAGATAACCGTGGCAAAATCATGCGACATTGTTCGTAATAAGGTGGCAATCTAGGCTTCTTCTCTTACCAGAGGCGATTCTTTGTTTGCTGAACGCGACCTTCTCGAAGCTCGCGGTGGCTTCGTTGGTTGAGACAGAATCCTCGATGGGTGGAAAATACTCATGGCAATCATAGCAAATAACATCAAAGTTGAGTCAAAGACGTACATGAATGCCTCGTGGCTGATGATGTATCCATCGTTGCCCTGGGCGTATTCAATGAGTCGGAAAATCGAACGAATGAGAATCAGAATGCTGGCGATGTATAGCCCAATCATGATGGTTTCCCAAGTAGCCATGCTCGTTACTCCAGATGAGCTTGATCGGCTGACAGACTTCTCGGTGGGATTATTGCGAATCCGGCGGTGAAAGATTGTTGAAGCAATGATGAAAACGCTGAAGAACACCAATTGTATGGCGAGACCGCCGATCGTGATATGTTCGCCGGTGTTTATCGAGCTAAGAGTTCCACTTGCCATGATTCCCCCGCCTTATTCTCGGTTAGTTTTCATTGACTGGGACGGTTCCGTTGACAGAGAGGACTAGTTACCTGCCGCTTGCATCAGAAACCCAATCACGTCTCCAGTGACGAAAATTATGGTAAGCCATTTCACTGGCACCATACTTAACTTCTCGGCGTCCAAATGCACAATGAGACGACCGAGAGTCATATATATCGAGGCTGCATAGAGAGGAGGGGCAAGGAGTATCATAATAGTACTGATTGAGTAAAGCGGGATATTCTCTTTGTCTTTATGGGCTGGCGCGCGGCAAATATAACCTATGATTTGAACTGCAACACCCATTAGTAACGCTATAGACTCCAGTAGATCATGAGGAAGCTAATGAGCTCTGGACTTGAGACCGGGCCAACTTACAGACTCCTCCGATAACGAAGACTATAAAATACCAGGATCGCGTACGGACGATCTGGTAAAAGTGATGAAGAGTTGCTAAAACAAATAGAACAGTGAAGAGAACTGCAGCCGCGAGAGAGGGCGTATAGCGGTATAGTTCATAGACTGCCTGTCCATCCTTGTTGAAACCCATGATGAATGAGCGTGGTAGCCGAATACAAACAACTGTCAGAGTGACAAGTATACTTCGGCCAAGAGGAGGCAATTCAAAGGACTAAGGAGGTTGTTCGACGTTTGTCACCTTGAATGAGCAGCTGCAGGAGTTAATTATTATATATTTCTGACCGTGCTAATCTAGTATATATACTTTTATTCGTATTTGGGACAAAATATGATTTTTTTTATAAATTTTGATCTTTGTATCCGTGGTAGATGCCATCACTGCCATTATCATGTAGGTTAATTGGTACAAGGATGCGGCAAGGCCGTAATTGACCCACCCGTATTCGCATTCTCGGTTTTTCCGGTCGCCACTCAGTTGGGATGGGTCTGCCAAGGTTTGTCTGGCCGGATTTACATTGGGTACTCTGTATTTACCCAAGGGATCTAAGCCTCTCGTTTTGACGCTGACCCACCCGTACTCGCTTCTACTATTGCGCTATTTAGATACCTGCGATTCAATACAAAGCCAAGACTATTTTTATATTCAGGGTCAAATTCTGGCTTCTGTGGAAGTGGTATATAAGAAATGGCGACAAAACATTTTGCAAAGGTCTACGAAGCAATGAAGCTTGAAATATCGCATCCGGACCTAACATCGATACCTTCTAAATCTCTTTGACAAAAATTACCACGCCAATCGTTACAGAATACAGAATAACATGACTTCGATCCGTTCTGATGATGGACCGGGCGGCTTCGCTTTTTATCACTATAACCCCAGCATGGGTGGTGCTGTCCTTTTTACGATTCTTTTCATGGGCACAACTTTTCACCACATCTACCAGATGTTCAAAGCCAAGACTTGGTTTTTTATTCCCTTCATGATAGGTGGTCTCCGTACGCGCAACCTTGCTTTATGCGCTTTTTATACTCAAGCTAACATGAGTAGTCGAGATTATCGGATATATAGGGCGTGCCTTGTCCAGCAAACAAACCCCCGATTGGACGCTAGGACCGTACATCATGCAGACCCTGTGTCTGCTTCTTGCCCCAGCTCTTTTAGCAGCCTCAATCTACATGTTTCTCGGCCGGATTATTCTGGTGCTCCAGGCAGAATCGCATTCCATTTTGAAAAAGAAATGGCTTACGAAGATTTTCGTGACCGGTGACGTGATGTCGTTCCTTCTACAAGGCGCTGGTATGTGTTCTCGAGATAAATAAAAGATAAGATGGGATTATCTGACTGTATATCTAGGTGGCGGCATCCAGAGTAGCGGGTCCCTCGACAGCATGAAGACTGGCGAGCGCATTATCATTGTAGGACTTTTTGTCCAAATCATCTTTTTTGGCTTCTTCATTGTTGTCGCTGGTCTATTTGACTGGAAACTTCGCAAATACCCTATCCCACGCTGCTTCGATCGGCATATTCCCTGGCGCAAACACCTAAACATTCTCTATGCGACCAGTCTGTTGATCCTTGTGCGCTCGCTTTTTCGACTTGCGGAATACATCCAGGGGAATACGGGCTATCTTTTGCGTCATGAGATCTTCTTGTATATTTTTGATTCACTGCTCATCTTCATTGCTATGGTTATCTTCAATATTGCTCATCCATATGAAATCACTCAGTTTTTGATTGATTCCGCGAATTACGAGTTGACTCGTGCCGGGAATGAACAGGCTGCGAAACCTCATGGGGTCTACCGGGGCGTGTGATTATCTTCTTTACTCCTCCTATTTTCTTTTTTTTCCCCAGGTTGCTTTATATTTCTATAGATTCTTTATTTCTTAATTCAATTCAAGCAATCCAATTATTGAGATAGACCAGAAACAAGAAGAAGAACCGTGTTAGTATTTTTAACTAGGCACCTTGCTTTCGACAAGACAAGTCTAGGTTGTTGTTCGATTTACAAAAATATTACAAGATCCTTGTCACATGATACTTGGGGTTACAAGCCCTATATTCATTCAAGTAAGCCGGAGGGCCGGTTCTATTTTTAGGTCCTACATGACTGTCTATCGCCGTGATGCGATTTATTTATGCACAACCCAAGATCTTAGGGCGATTTTCGGAGCGTTATGAATAGGTCTAGACTACACTGGAAGCTCCGTTAAATACCACTAAGGATTTTTTGGGTCGATATTGGACCACTCCATCAACAACAGAAGCAGCAGGTGCAGAACTCGAAGCAGAGAAGCCCAGTGCAACTATCGTTTTAGTTAATAAAACTGACTTCAAGATGATTTATGACAAGGTTATACTGACACTCCACAGCAAATGTCTGCTCCGTCACCGCCACCACGTAAGTGCAGCTGTTACATCTGATCCGGGGCACTCTAAGCAAATTTAGTCAGTGCCTCTAGTAGGAAAATATAACCTCAGGCAGGCAGCACTAGAAGCTCCCGGAGTAATATCCTACTTATACCCACACTCCAAAGTTTATGAATGATTTGTTGTGCGGTGAAACAACATTTTTTCCCACAATTACTAGGCCCAAATATTTGAAATGCATCCGTGGACTTCGGGTTATCACGTCACATTTGAAATAGATAATCATTTTTACATCCCACAGTTGAATTTTCAATTTTCTAGGCTAGCACACAACTTGCTTCTAGAAATTACGTACGAGAGACGTAAACCTAAATACCTAGTTTAGTCTTTCTCCATTCATTATATATCTTAACATCGATCACTTCCCTACATTCTGCACACGGATCATGGCTTTCTCTTACTCGTGAGACCCGTAAAATAGGCTTACCAGGTCCCTACTTCTGTTCAACCTCATCCGCTTCCGGATCAGTACTCTTTGCCGCATGAATTCTCGTCCACTTGACCCCGAAAGCAAAACAGAATGCTGCGGCCGTCGTACCAACTGCAACAAACTATCGATGTCCATATGTCAGCTAGTCCCTCTACTCTCTCGCCTAGGGAAGGACCACTCACAAATGCGGAAGTAATAGCTTTGTTGTAAGATTCCAAAACTGGATGCAATAGTGTGGGGAAGTTCGCATTGGTGATATCACGGATACCGGCAGTCCCAGCGGCAGATAACAACGCTATCTGTGTAGCATTTAGACCATGGTCGTCTAGGGATTTACCCAGAATTGAACGAAACACGATGCCTCCGATAACCTGTGTGACTGTGGCACCTAGATACTGGAAGAATAGGTTGAGAGAGACGGCAGCGGGCATGAGCTCTGGTTTATCATGGACTGCTAGTTGGACTATGAGAGAGGGCATTTGCTGGGCCATGCCAACCCCGAGACCCTGAATGACTTGGAACCCAATCCAATGGCTGGATGGTGTATCGAAAGCCGTGAACTGGGTGTATAACGCTGCGGCAGTGCACATAAAGAGAGGTCCAGCGAAGAGCCAAGGGTTGTAGAAGTTGACTTTTCGCGCTGTTTAGTATTAGCCTGATACCTTCCACGTGAAATTCGGGTGTTAAGCTTACCCAGAATACCAGAAGATATTGTTCCCACGATCTGAGCGAGAACTGAAGCCAAAACCCGCGTACCGCTTTCCAGTGGACTTGCGCCTTCCACGGCCTGGAACCACTCTGGAAGATAGTAGTTAAGGATGCCAAGAGACCCGAAATGACAGAAGGAAAATAAGACACTAAAGGTGATAGTTCGTCTCACAATTAGATTCCCCGGTATCATAGCGCCATCACCCTTATAGTGCTCCCAGCCAACAAATAGTATGAGCATCACACCAGACCCTATAAAGAGACCGATGATTGTTACCGAGCCCCAAGGCTTTTCCGTGCCGCCCCACATCATAGCGAGAAGTAGCATGAAAATAGCGGGAATAAAGATCACACATCCAATGAGATCTAGATTCTTTATCCGCTGGAGAGCTGTTTGATCGCGCTGAATAGATGGGAGTTTGAAGAATAAGAGCATGGCGACCAATGTCATAGCACCCGGAGGAAGATTAACCCAGAAGCACCACCGCCATGTTGCTTTTTGCGTGAAAGCACCACCTATAACGGGTGCAAGGATTAGACCCATAGCAAAGCAACTACTACAGATACCCATAAGGAGCGGTTTCGCTTTATCCGAAGTAACCGTGAGAACAATAATAAACCCGCCACTCGCGACACCGGACGCCCCGATACCTGCGACTGCACGACCTACAATAAAGCTGTTACTATTCGGAGCAAAGCCACAGATGAGGCTTCCAACCATAAAGATAGAAAAGAACGTGATATAGATCCAGCGTAGGGGAAAGGTTGCGCTCAGCTTTCCTGCCAGCGGAGTCAATGCGCATGTTGTGAGTGAGTAGGCGGCCGGATACCAGGCCAGCTGCGACGTATCCTTGAAGTCGGACGTGATGGATGGAATGGCCTATCCATAGTGCGTCAGATGATTCGATTTTCTAGGACAGGGAGTGGGTGATAGTACTGTTGCGATAACGAAGATATCCAAGGACATCAGAAAAGCACCGAAACATATACCGATAAAAATGGCCCAGAGTTTGAAGCCGTACATCGCCGTTGGGTTTCCCTCGGTAAGGTTCTGGTGTTGGGGTTGGGCAGTACTGCCAGCATCTTCTGACTTGGTAGTTCTAGTCTCATCTAGAGACAAAGACATATTCCAGATCTAACTGTGTAAATTGCGTTGAAGCGAGTGTTGTAAATTCATCTGATAATACGCAAATGCATGGATTGCAGAATTCGTCGGACCGGCGACATATTAACCTCGAACAAAGAAAATAGAGTCGCCGGTTCCGAATTGTGCATCCCTGGTCTCAGGAATTCACCAGCCGCGCATAAAAGAGTCACGTGGTAGGACTACATTGGCCATGTTAATTCATCTTGATAGAAATCCGACCGTATGACAATGTATGGTATGAATGGATGATGTCGAATACTAAGTTGGAATACATGGTTGAAACTGGGTATTATACCCCGAACATCATGTTACTTCGATTACCAGACATATCCGGATTGTTGATAACGTATTTCACATACAAGTGGCCCACCCCAAAACACCATTTTAGGACGTCTTTTTGGGATTTCTTTTTGTGATGTCTCTCTTGGGAAATCACAATCTACAGATGACGTTTAATTTCTTTTGTCTTGTTTGCATTAGTTAACTAGTTATGCCGGCCGCTTTGTGGCCTTCAAATTCATGTTACGGGACCCCTCTCGACTCATGTAACTATACAGGGTGGACTTGCATACTGGGGATGCACCACCATTTGTCGTCGGGAGTAGGCTCTAGGACGCAATCCCCGCATAGCAGCATGTATATAATATCAAGCTACATCGGGTCAATGAGATCATCATCATCATCATCGTTGACCAGGAGACACCAACACAGGGGGGTGCGCGTGAGACGGTTAATGGTGGACTCGCAAAATATCCCACAAACACAACAAACACAACAAACACACCACCTCAGTTTCCGCCCCCGCGCGAACGCTGCTTCCAAAATAATCCGTTTTGCAGTCCAGTATCACACATAGAGTTAGCTTTCCTTATGTCAACATGGGCTCTAAAACAGCGGAGAATGAGAGCCAAGGAGGTGGTAGTAAGTGATATAGCGATCAACCTCCATCGAAGTCAACTGACATTTAGCAGATGCGCCTTCTAGCTCTACCATGGCAAATGTCACTGGTGGGGAACCTCGGGGTGCCCATTGGTCCCGGGATGGTGATGGCACGCTTGGAGAAGGCGATGGAGATGATGATGCTGACGGCGACAATATCCCCTGCGCTCTTACCTTGCCGTTGAACTCGCAGGCTGTACCCTTAACAAGTTCGAAGAAGAAACGAAAGAGGACCAAGAAGAAATCTTCTGTATTGAAGCAATCCTCACCACCGAGAATTCCCCTTGCCGATCTCTTCCCTGATCGCCGGTATCCACATGGCGAGGCTCAAATTTATGAGTCTATGGTCGAAAATACAACCCGCACACCCGCTGAGGAAGTCCGATACCAGGCCCGACGTCATATCGAAGATGACACTTTTTTGAATGACTATCGCAAGGCTGCAGAGGTGCACCGCCAAGTCCGACGCTGGACTCAAGAGAGTGTTCATCCGGGCCAGACTCTGACGGAGATTGCTGTGGGAATCGAAGATGGCGTGAGAGCGTTGCTCGATAATGCCGGCCTTGACACTGGTGAAGGTCTCATATCCGGACTTGGCTTCCCCACAGGCCTGTCACTCAACAATTGTGTTGCCCACTACACGCCAAACCCAGGCCAAAAGGATGTAGTCCTCGACTCAAGTGATGTCATGAAGGTCGATTTTGGAGTCCACATAAATGGCTGGATTGTTGACAGTGCTTTCACAATGTCATTTGACCCAACCTATGACAATCTGCTTGCCGCTGTCAAGGACGCGACAAATACTGGCATCAAGGTAAACAATCTGTGGTTTGCAAGCTAGACTTACCGCTGACCACTTCTAGAATGCGGGAGTCGATGTTCGCATTAGCGATGTCAGTGCTGCCATACAGGAAGCTATGGAAAGCTATGAGGTCGACATCAATGGTCGGACGTTCCCTGTGAAGGCGGTGCGCAATATCACTGGGCACAATATCGAACAATATCGCATTCACGCCGGGAAATCTATACCATTTGTCAAGAACAATGACAACACCAAGATGGAAGCCGGAGAGATATTTGCCATCGAGACATTCGGGACAACCGGTAATGGCTATCTCTTTGATGGGGTAGGTTTCATTTTCGTTGCTTGTAGTTGTTGTCACGTACTCATTCAATTCTTTAGCCTGGAGTCTATGGTTATGGTAAGGACCCATCCGCACCAAAAAGGATCACCTCGCACCTTGCCAGTGCCAAGTCCCTTTATCAGAAAATCAACGAAAATTTTGGCTCGCTTGTCTTCTGTCGCCGCTATCTTGAGCGGCTTGGCGTCGAACGTTATCTGGCTGGTGTGAGTTTTCATCGTTGGACCATGGAAATCAGGTGCTTATAGTGAACAGATGAACAACCTCGTATCTAATGGGTATGTCGAGGTCTACCAACCTCTGATGGACGTTAAAGGATCGTATTCCGCTCAATTCGAACATGTTTGTGGGCCTCCTTCTTTACAAACCAACCCGCGATGCTAACCTTCCTAGACCGTTCTGTTGCGAGATTCATGCAAGGAAGTGATCAGTCGTGGCGATGACTATTGAGGTCACTTGAGTGCATCACCGAAGGTGCCACCCTTTCATTGATTATTTTCTAGAGTTTCCTACTTTGACCGCTATTCAACATGGCTCTCATTGAACACTCCTTTACACTACTCTGCTCTTGCTGCACATTCAACATGGAGTGCATCATTTTGTAAATTCTCATCTACGAGCAGTATTTCACTGTTAAATTCACAATATCGCCCATCTAGACAACAAGCTATCTGTATTGATGGATTTGTTTTTCCTCTCTATCTTTCTAGTTAATATACGCAATGCTAAGTACGTGCGACGTAGTGTCAGCCATGATCCCTGGACACGATCGAATAGCCACCGGCATTATAATCTCCAATACAAGAGACCGAGCCACCAACCGCGCTGTTAACCGCATTACAAGAGCACTCTCTATTACTCCAAATGCATGACTTTGCAATGCCCCCCGTTATCGTACGAATACTGATCGTAGCCCCTAGCATCGATCGGTGTGCAACACTTCGAGCCACAACCGCCTCCCAAGGTATTGCGCTGGCTGCAGCAGGATCAGCTTTATTAGCAATGGAAGGCGTGGCTAGGCTGGCCGAGGACCTGTGCAAAATCAAGCGAAAAGACTCATCGCGGTGCCAATGCGACCTGGGAGACCAAAGTGTGCGGCACGTCCTGCTCGAGTGTCCACTTCGGGAGGAACTGCGAACAGAAATGGCGGAAAAATTGTTCGAAGCCGGGGTGTCGGCGATGCTCGGAGAGGAAGAGGTGTTGAAGGAATCGAAGGCAGCGCCGATCGTGGCAAAGTTCATGATCGCGTCGGGACTCCTAGGACAGTTCCATTCAGTAGACTCGGTCGCCACCGGTAAGGAGAAGGGGGCAGGGGACGGGAATTTAGAATCAAACCAAGGCACTACAAGTGCTAGAGACAAAGGAAGCACAACTTAGTAGCCAGACGCCAGGTCTACCGAGGTCACCTCACGCCAACAAAACCCATAGAGATCAGCCATTACTCCCGATGAAGACGAAGATAACAACGAAGCATAGCGTCGCGATCCGAACCTGTTTGTGTACGACCTGCCGGAATAATGCAACTGGCGGTCCTAGTGATGCAGAGACTCGGTAACTCGAGGAGCCAGGAAAGGAGAGAGAGAAGTGAGTAATAAAGAAGAAGAAGGGGGTGGAAGGTGCATTATAAAGAGAAGGGGACACTCTGTGCCCGCGGGGAATGCGGGATGAACCATCTACATTGGGTTTCTTTTGTCTTCTTTGCATTACGCCGGCCGGTTCGTGGCCTTCCAATCAGGTTGCAGTACTCGAGAAATCAAGTCCTATATACTCCGGACAGGGTGGTGTATACAACATACAACATAAGATCTAAGTTGATCTTGTACATATACATACCCCAACTAGACGCTAGGCTCTTTCTAGAAATGGGCCTTCTCCACATTTAAGATTTCGTCATTCAACATGCATGTCCCGCCATCAAATTAGCCGACCAACCGATGGTCCGAAATCTCTCAATGTTCATGACACTGCTGAGTTGTTGACTCCTCCGTTGGCATGGGTTCGAATAACAAAACATCGCGATCACGGTTCGGTGAGTCATCCTCTCAGCGGGATTGATCACTCCCCTAATATGTATATTTGTAGGCTGTCGCACCTGCCGTGCTCGAAAAGTGAGAAGTTACCTTTTTGCTCCAGGTGGCTTGGTTTTCTAAGACATGCAATCGAAATTTCATAGGTCAAATGTGATGAAACACCTGGCGAATGCGGCAACTGTACTCGATTACGACTGGTCTGTTCCGGCTACACAACACCGCTGGGGCCTCAAGCAACCGGGGGTGAAATATACCAAGGAGATTCCACGAGAGGAAAAAGGACGTATCGCTCCTGCACAGCATGTCGAGTTTCGAAGACCAAATGCTCGGGTGAGCGACCATGCCAACGATGCCGTTGGAAACGTTCAAACGAATGCGTATACGGCGAGTCTACACAGCCCACTTGGGTGCGCAGAGTCAACGTGACCCCGACAGGCAACGGAGACTTCTCTCCATCCCGACCCTCCAGGCCTGAATCGTCTTTCAGCCAGACACCGTCTATCCAGGACGGCCCGCCTAGCTCAATGCGGACGTCGCCTATGTCACAGGCTTTTCCCCTGGTGGAAGCCGGGAGTTCATCATCCCCACTTGACTGGTGAGCTGTGAAGTCTTTTACTAATATATATACATGCTGCATTTCTGCTCACTCGCTGCAGGTTGGCTACCAATTACCTTCCCAACCCATCGAGAATCGCGATGCTAGTCGAAGAGTATTTTAACAACATCCACCCTCTACGTGCCTTTGCTTTTATCCACAAACCTTCGTTCCTACAACGATTGGATGGAGAGACTTCAAAGGAATACCACAATCATGCCCTTTTACATGTTATATGTGCACTGGGAGCCCAGTAAGCCCAACTCACATCTCAGAGATAAAGTCCGACAAGCTCATTTCTGTTTTGAAGGTTTTATGCTCTGTCATATAGCGAGACAACAACTTCGCTTGAGCCGAAATTTGTCCTTCTTGCGGGTACCCAATGGGCTAAAATTGCCCAACGACTCATTCTTGAGACCATAGATCGTGTCACTATTGAAAGTCTAATGGTGTGCTCTGCTCATAAGCCGATTTCTATGCCGAATACTAATCATTTAGTAAGGCGGCCGTTCTACTTCACGATTATGCGGTTCGATTAGGGAACTTCGCAAACGCGTTCATGCTGAGCGGACTCACTACTCGCATGACCCAAGCGCTACAGATCAATCTTGAATACAACACCGACATACTCTGCCAAGATACCGAGAACGGTCTTCCAGTCACGGCAAAGGAATCTCGTCGGCGGTTGATGTGGAGCTGCTATATAATGGATGCGCTTGTTGGCAGCGGAGTAGACCAGCTGACACTGATGGATGAAAGAGATATAAAGATTCAACTTCCCTGCAACGAGCGCAACTTCACTCAGAATGTCCCCTGCATCACAGAAACTTTATATCCTGGAAGTTGGCTCAAGATCCTGCCAGAAGATTCAGATACAAAGACCCTGTTGCCCAACATGGGTATAATGGCGTATTTCATTCGACATATCTCAATCCGCAAAAGAGTTTTGAGGTATTTGAAACCCCGTTTTGCTATCTTTCAAATCTGCTAACGTCGAACAAGATATATCAAGCATTTGGGAGACGCTATGGTCCCGTGGGACCCCGCGTCAGAATTTTCACTTTTAGATTCAGATTGCCGGGCGTGGTATGAGTCTCTACCGGCAAGTCTACAATTCACCCCCGATGCAATGTACATCCGCAAAGATACTTCGCAATTAGGCGCGCTGTGTTTGCTCCATTGTGCGCATTATCAAACAGTCTGCGACCTATATCGCTTAGGGGCCCCTGCGCTTTACAAACTCCGAGCGGCTTTCGACTTCCCTCCTGAACAGCGGGACTTCCTTCGGCATCTGCAACAAGTTCTCTTCGATGCAGCTCGAGCTTTAGCAACTATCATTGGCCAGGCGGCTGGTCATGGTCCTCGAATGTTGGCAGACTCCTGGCTTCCCACCATCGCGTATGACAGCTGCCGGATCATGGTATATCATTTGACTCAGATTCTAGATCCGCGTTCAGATAATGCAAAGGCTCTTGCACTAGCTACCATTCCCCTCCTTCGCAGTAACATCAACGCACTGAAGTTAATGGGATCACTCAATGCAATCGCCAGCTCACTGGTTAGTTCGCGTAGCCTCCAATTTGAATAGGCCTGATCACTGATCTATCTTTGGCTGTCCCAGTCCTCCGCAGCGGAGACAATGCTTGATCGTTCTGGTATTGAGTCCGAGTTGGTCTCCCAGAACATCATACCCGATGACCCATATCAATCAACTGAGGAGGAAGACACGAGGTACATGTGGCCAGTTTCCGGAAAGTGGTCTTTACTTGCTAACCGTGAGTTACAGTGACAACCTTCGAGAAACTCCAGTTCAAAGCGCGCCGGACTACGTGCTCAACCCGTTGACGATTTACCGAATGGCACGCAAATCTATACCGGAGCGACATGCCCCCGAAAGGGCAGGCACTACGTCGGCACTTAGAGGTAACAATGCAGGGGATATTGATTATCCCCCTTGTGAAGTTGATAGCGGCTCCGGGGTAGAAAGTGGTCAAGCTGAGTTAGAGGTTGATCAGTCGAGCCTTGAGGAGCTGCAAACTTTGTTCATGTCTGATCTTGGATGGGCATGGCAGCCCGCAGATACGGCCGTTGGATCAGGAACAGAGGGAGCTGGACTATTGCCATGGGCAGGTGGATATCCCATCACTCAAACACAGCCCTGGTTGCCTGTATTTCCATTCCCCCAGCAAAGCTGACAGCTCCTTGGGAAACCCACGTCTGATTTCTATTTATTACGAAGATGCCCTTACTATGGCCACTTAAAGACGGTCCAGCGCCCAATCTGATTTTATAAAATTAAAAACTTAGGGTTTGCAATGATATATCCAATTCCATACAGAAAGGGTTTTAGTAAGATTCATACGGCGATCCACTCTTTTACTCCGCGTCCAAGGGGTATACGGGAGGAGTGTCATTCACTTGGATACCTCCGCGTTTCTTGTCCAAAGTATCGTGGTACGGAAGCTTCCATCCTCCTTCTGATTCTGGGGCTGACAGCCAAAGTCGCATCAAATGCCGTCTTTGGGCAGGCCGGCCGTCCTCATCAACCGCCCCAGGTGGATGATCCGTGTAGGCGGTTCGTGCATGGAAGACATGTGTGTTACTGAGAAATTGAATATCCCCTGGAGCTAGAATCATATGTAGTGATAGCTCAGCACAGATCTTCTCAAATACCTCTAGGGCGTGTGTCTGTCTGTCTGACAAAGGGGGTATGCATGCATCAGGCCCCGAATTGAAACGCGCTAGCGATGTCACGTTCATAGGATCGAACCTGGCGTAGACTCGTGGACTAGAGGTGCCGTTGTCGTTTTCGAGATAGAAAATGCTACCTCGAATCCAGCCATCTTCGCCTTCGGACATCTCACCCTTCCGGTCGAAATACCAGTTGGGCTCACATAGTGTTCGTATCACATCGGGATGTCTTTCCTGTAGTACATTGAATACATGATGCGTAGAAACAATGTCAGACTCCCCGCCAGACAGGGATTTGGCGACACAAAGAAGGCCAACAAGATCGGCTCCGTCCGTGTGGAAGTATTGACTAGTGAACAAGTTAGCTTTTATCCACTTTTTGGTGTGGATAGGACTAGTTACATACCGAGCATTCGTTCGATAAATTCGAACTCTGTCAGTTTTGGTTGGATCTTCTCCTAAATCTTTGACATGACCGAGGACATGACCACGGCCGTTTTGACTGACAAAGTAGCCTAAGTATGTGCCAAGCCCCATATATGCTGTTGCACATTTCTGGAGATTCCACTTCTGAACAGGAAGCCCTCTAAAACGAAAGAATCCTTTCCCATTGATCAGATCTTGTCGAAGCAATTCCAGCCGCTCGGACAAATTGGGCAAAGGAAAGTTCGCCTGTAGACAAGTTAGTTTCCACTCCTCGTGTTCATCGCAGTGTCATGGACAACCATACCTTTGATATTCCAGTCAAAGGGGTTCCAGTTTGTATAAATTGATCTGAAGCAGTACTGATCTCTTTAATCTCTTCTGTGGTGAATCGATGCGTCCAAAGTTCAGGATTCTCGCGATAGTCTTCGGCTTTCCACACTGTAGGCCCGGTATGTGTCTTCGGGAAATCGGCATAGGGCCGAACTAGTGAATATATGGGGGGGTGCTGACCGGATGTTTTGAATCCATCTGGGAACACAGAGAGCTTGACGGGGCTCGACAAGGTCGGCAAAGTAGTAGCTTCCACTAGTCCGGGGGCCATGGTTGAATGAAATTTGATGTGGATGAATTATATCCTCAGTGCAGGGACCTTAAATGGAGAGATTTATTTATTGTCAGAAATGGGTTCTGGTCGATATATATATATATATATATATATATACTATCACTGTGCATCCCCGTCTAGCGAGATATAGGTTGCTCGGCTTGTCGTGCCGATCGGTTTCGGCCGATCGCTTCATTGCTCGTTGTACCTCCGGCCTCACGAGATGAAACTTTACGTTTGATTTCTCAAGTATAAGGGGAATACATATATCATAGTCAGACTCCAAGTACTAACTGACCAGGTCTGTATTCAATAAGATCGCAACCAACCCAAACCACGATGCTAGTTTGCCATTACGGCTTGTCGGCTAAGAAGTCTAAAGCTGGCATCACACATCACGCAATATGTATCCATATAATGGCAAGCTCGAACAAATCAAAGAAATAAGAGACAAAATCAATTATATTAGGATTTGGAAAGTACATCGATGTACATATGTCTGCATACGCACATGCAACTCCAGTCCAGCTTAGGAAGTCCAGCTTAGGATTTAAGATCGTGGATACATTGTTGTATTCCATTTCATGGGTCTTCCATCTAATCATTCATATGTGCGTTCTGGTCACCAAAGACTCCAGCTGGTGCCTCGATGTCCGGTCGCTTAGTGCTAGCTCGATCTGAACACGACACTGACTTCAATGAGCTACCCCGAACTCTCTCTTTTCCATATAAAGGCAGGGTGTTTAGATCGAGAAGTAACATGTACCAATAGTAAGTCCCTAGAGGTTTCATCAGCCGAGACACTCAATGCACGAATATGGATAGTGATACTGACCACAAAATATACCTCCCCCGATAATATTTCCTAATAAGGTCGGGATGATGCCTTTCCATATGTATAAGCCAATTGTAATATTTGGCGCTCCAAGCCAGATACCCAATGGAATGAATGTCATGTTTGCAACAACATGATCAAAGCCGAGGGAAACAAAAGCGAAGATGGGCAACCAGATTCCTATAACTTTGGAGGCCAGATCACGCCCTTGGATACCCAAAAAGCAAGCCAAACATACTAGCCAGTTACATCCAATGCCACGCAGGAGTATCATGTGGAACTCTGGGGTGACCTGCTTTTTTGTAGCAAAAGAAATAACAGCAGACCTGAATGGCTCTGCGGAAAAAGAATTTCCATCTATGAGTCCAGCATTAGTCACATTGTTTTATAGTAATAGGGATGTGAGAGTGGATTCCGTACAGCCGAAGATGATAGCCACGACAAATAAAGATCCAGCGAAGTTGCCGACGAATGTCACAGCCCAATGAACCAACATTTTCGACCAAGGCAAGCGTCGATGGAGCACTGCCACTGTAGTAAACTAGTATGCATGTTAGTTGATGGCCTCCATCATGGTCACCGTATCTGTTTTTTCCATACCATGAAAGATCCAGTACAAAGGTCTGCACTTGTTAGGAGAATCATACACAGGCCATAAGGAAACACCATGGCACCAATAGTTCGTATCAGACCTGGGGCATTGTCTTGAAACCAGGGTGCGGTAGTGGTACTAAGAGTAGTCCCGCAAGCGAATGCAAGTAGACAGCCAGCTGATACTGAGCTAAAAAGCACCTTGTCCAGACGCATATTCCCCTTGTGAGTGCCAGCTTTTGAGATGGCCTCAATCACCTCTTGAGGAGAGAAGGCATCGAAAGTCATTTTCATCAGAAAACAATCGCAATCCGGTGAATATATCAGTTCAGTAGTAAAGTAGCAACCCTTCCGTATGTAATGGAGGCATATAACGCTGAAGGGCCGGCGAAAATAAATGATTTTGTCTCGATAACTCCCTTACCGATGCAACGGATGGCTTATCTCACGTCTCGTTGGAAACTCTCCCTAGCATGGTTACGAGCAAATAGTTCCCACACTCGGCTACTTTAAATCTAGAGTTATGATGATCATTGAACCTAGATAAGGATTTGGCGTGGTTAACAGGATCAGTGACTAGCGAGCATATTCACACTGGAAAGATCTATCGAGTCAAAAGAGAATTAGTTATCAGAGTCAAGGATCTTGGCAAGATAAGAATATGTTGTCGAGATCCTACATCTCCGCGGACCTACCTACATCTGTATGTTGTAACTAATGGTAAATGCTACAATATGCATGCTACATAATTTGCACCATATTGTACATTAGGTAGCTAGTTATCCACATTTGAAGGTTATGCAAGGCCTCCAAAATGTAGGTATCTAGGTACGAACCTTGTCATCGTGACATAGCAACTTTGGAATACCTGTCCGTATGTATGCATGTACTTCTACACCTGTGACGTCTAATTGAAGTCTGCAACAATAGACCAATAACAGCGAAATCAAATGCTGGCCACTACTCGTCGCATCTAACTGAAAATTCAATATTCACTTCACATTGGGAGAGTACTGTAGGAGGGAAAATGAAGGACAGAGATACCGTGACTTGGTATTTTCCCCTTTGACAGGCTTAATAAACAAAAACAATTGACGTTCTGACCAGCGAGTTCAACTATCTCGTGAATATGAGCGCGACTGAGCTTCGTGCCTAGCTTGAACAAGAGCAATCACTAACATCGGGTTAGCTGGGCGGTTCCGGGGAGACTATTGGTCACAAAAGGTCAGTCAAGAATCCTTTTCTTGGTCGCCCTCGGTCGCAGAATTTCAACAACTGGAAAACAGAAATGAGCGCTAAAGATGACGATAGTGGCCGAAGGATTATGCAGATCCTTGAGCAAAATCCCACTAAGAACCCCTCCGACTACAGCGATCAAGACATTGACCTCATGCGTCGTGTGGTCTCCTACTGCAAGCGCCATTTAGCGCAAGAGGAGCGATCCAAGCAGGACACGAGTAGTAAGAGTTACCGCTCACTCAAGAACTGGGGTCATGATTCACTCAAAGAGTAGGGTCCGGTGCGCTTGCAAGATCGGAATGGATTAACGTGGTAAAATCGAGACCTCTTTTTTCGAGTTTTTTTGTTCTTTCAGAGGGAAAAATACTAGTCATATTTGGCAGTAGAGGATAGAGTATAGTGATATCGTAAAAAACGTTTACACGAGCTAATTGAATCTTTTTATGAGACGCGTCCTCCGTTTGGGAATTTGTTTTCGTGTTTAGATGCCTTGCTGCCTTGCTTCCCTGCTGCTGCCTCAGACATGAATAATAATTAGCAGCTTGTCCCAGAACTCAGGTCAGTAGGGCCCGCCTGACCTCTCACGTTGGTCCGTTGGTCAATGCTCACGTGGGCTCGCTGGGTTTTACGTACCGGGAAGCGGTTTGGTATGGAAATGTAAGGCATCAATTATTATGTCATCCCGTTTCGGTATGAAATATGTGGTCTACAGCTATAGAAGTGAATTCCAAGGGATACATTCTTACAAATAATAAACAACTCTACATCTAATATAATATCCAGAAATCACTTTATACTAAACCTCTTGGTTTATTTACTACTGTTCTATTATTTCTAGTAGCATATAGCTACTAAGCCTACTCCTAAACTAGAAGATATATATTTATCTTTTCTAGGCCTTTTTTACCCTATTTTTTCAGGGTATATATATACGGAATACTTCTATACTACTCGTGGTTACGTATAAAGGGGTAGGGGGGGGAGTTTAGCGCTAGTAAGGTTTTTTTAGGGAGGAGATAGGGGGGGCCCTAGGGGAGGGGGGTACCTACCTATATTATAAGGGTAGCTATAGGACCTCTAAAGCATTAGGGGGAATTTTAAACAGAGTAGGTCCACGGGTATGGTATTGGTAAGAGAGATATAGGTAATTATAGGAAAGTGGTAAGGTAATGAAAAATGTAAGGCACACATGAAGTCTTGGTGGGTGCCTAAGGCAGCGCACCAACGTGAGAGGTCAGGCGGGCCCTACTGACCTGTGGTCACAGCTTGTCCCGAGTCAACTTGACAGCTCATGTTTTCTAAATCCGGTACGGAGTACATATTTTGAACATATTACAGAGTCCTATATGTTAACAATGTAACTGAATATAATTATTGTTTTGTTTTCAAAGTTTTTGGCCTTTTCCGGGTGTCTGGACATGAAAGGCAACGCAGAAAGAGAATACATCATAATAAAACAACCTACGGAGTACCCAGCCTCGGATTTTTTTCTACTCTGGAAGAACTACGGAGTATTCAAAAGTGTATTCATTGAGCGTTATAAGACATATGGCTTCCTTATGCGCAGAAAAATGACCTATCCGATATCAATCATTTCGAGATATATAATAATATATGTGCGGAGTATTTTCGGCCAATTCCCCCAGGTCGGCATCTTACACGGCAAACTTCAAACGCCGACAATTCACTCTAGTACCCGACGAACAAATAGAAAGGTAGAAAAGTGCTGAGGTAATACCGCCATCATACCTATGTAGGTACCTACCAAGGCTTAAAGCTAGGAATGTAGGTAGGAATGTACAACATAGGCAAGGAGTTTACCCCCACGACCCCCGAGTTTCGGTTGGCCTCGGTAACGGGATGTCCCGAATGGGGATCTCCACTCCGAATCTCGGCATTGCGTTGTCTCTGGAAAGAAACAAGGATATTCTAATCGATTGGTAGACATAGGAGACACTAATCGATAAATGGCAAGACTTGTTCGCTAAATACCTTGGCTCACATGTGACCTGCGCGTTAGACTTTCGTGGGGGGAGGTGCGGAGACGTGGGGGAACATTGGGGGATCACGGGGCAACATGGGGAAAACCAGATATAGATGACGTGGGGTTCTGAAGCTGAACCTATATATATGTCGTGAGAGGTAAGACCAAAGGTATACATATTCTCCTACAATGCAAGATCCTACCATGTCGAAACCAGATGTTGTTCACAATGAAGCGGCAGAGCCCCAGAAGGGGGACAAAATCATGGATAATAGTGGCATTGTACGCGTCCTCTTGACCGAAGAAGACAGCAAGCGCATCTGCCGTAAGACCGACCGGACTATTCTTGTTGTGCTCGCCTGGGTCTACTTCTTGCAGGTTCTCGATAAGACAGTCCTGGGATACGGTGCAACATTTGGTTTGCAGGCAGACACAGGCCTTACCGGTAACGAATATTCGCTCGTCGGCTCCATCGGACCCATTGCACAACTTGCCTGGCAGCCCTTTTCTTCATACCTGATTGTCAAGGTTCCTCACAAAATCCTGATGCCAGTGTTGTGCCTTGGGTGGGGAATTGCGCAGACATGCATGGCTGTATGCCACAACTTCAACTCCTTGATGGCCGCTCGATTCTTTTTAGGCTTGTTCGAGGCCGGTTGTCTCCCTCTCTTTGGTGTTATCACGAGTCAATGGTACCGTCGTGCAGAGCAACCGATCCGGATCGCTGCGTGGTATAGCACAAATGGCCTAGCAACCATTGTTGCAGCTGCTTTGTCCTACGGACTTGCACAGATCAAGTCGGATGTACTCAAATCATGGCAAATGTAGGGGATCGAATCATCCAGCCCCCGAGACCGGTATATTCTGACTCGGTTTTAGCATCTTTCTTGTGGTTGGCCTGATAACTATCGCATCTTCTCCACTTGTCTACTGGCGCCTGGACAACGATATATCCACCGCACGTTTCCTCAGCGAGAAGGAGAAAGCCCAAGGAGTAGAGCGCCTGCGAGCCAACCAGACTGGAACCGGAAACACTGAGTTTAAGTTCAGTCATGTCCTCGAGGCATTCCTAGAGCCCAAAACATACCTGTGGATTGGAATGGCAATGCTTCTCAATATTGGCGCCAGCGTGACCAACATCTTCGGCCCACTGATTTTAAGCGGCCTCGGTTACGACAAATACAGGACAACTCTACTGACCATGCCATTTGGCGCGTTGCAATTCATCATCATTCTGCTGGCAAGCTATCTTGCCCAAACCGCCCGTGTGAAGAGTGCTATCATCGCGGCTTTCATGCTGCCCGTGATCGCTGGCCTAGCAATTTTGTATGCGGTAGCTCGGACCAAGTCTGTGCAGAGCCAGTTACTTGCTGGCTACTACCTCCTCGCATTCTTATTTGGTGGAAATCCATTGATTGTGACCTGGATCATCGGCAACACGGCAGGCACCACCAAGAAGTCCGTTATCATGAGTTTGTACAATGCAGCAAGCTCAGCAGGAAATATCGTTGGCCCGTTGCTCTTCAACGAGAAGGACAAGCCGGCCTACCACCCAGGCCTGCGCGCATGTCTCGGAATTTTCAGCACTTTGGCCGCTGTTGTTCTCATTCAGTGGGCCAATTTGTGGTTCCTCAACCAACAACAAGCCCGACGACGGGTACAGAATGGAAAGAGAGCTGAAATAGTTGACCTTTCGATGCAAAACGATTATCACGATATGCAGGACAGCTTAGAGGAGGCTGGGCATGAGGCTGTACAAGTCGGGGACAATGCGTTTCAAGATCTGACCGATCGGGAGAATGATGAATTTGTTTATATCTATTGAAGCTAGTCGCCATACGTCCAATATATTCAAGTTGACTGATACCCTCGGCAAAGTGAGTAGAATATCTCATTCTTCTCTTTGTGTGAACACACTTGTAAAGAAAATACGGCCTCAGGCCAAATTTGGTGCCTGAGTCCACCTAACACGACATGTCTATGGGTGGGGATGATGGGCAGAACATGTACATCACTCTCTCTTCTCTTCCTTCTCTCCCCCCTCTGGTTCCCCGCCTTCTCTGTCCGCCTTATCCGCAGCAAGTGCATCTTCTATTTTCACCTCCTGCCTAGATAGGGATAGGGGAGCAAACAACACAAACAATGCAGGCCACGTCGATTTGCCACGTTTTGACCATTCAAATACAATATGCACCTATGTTCGGACATTACCCAGTTGAAATTCGAATCGTTTTGAGGCTAGGACCTAAATTGACGAAGATTCATGGGACATAATGTGGTTGACAACTGAGGCGTGGTAATGATCCGAGAAAAAGGGGTTCCATATTGGAACTTGGCCTAGGTGTGTAGGTTATCTCGGACTTGAACTGTAATGCTGAACCTACCGACTGCTGACTACATGTATGTAGGAATATGATTAGTGAGGCGCATCTTCTTTTGGTGTGGTCTTGTGGAATGTCGCCCTATGATGCACCCCATCGGCCATAAGACACGTGCTTACAATCCCTACCCGCATCCTGGCCCGTCATGGATGGTATGAATATCTTGAACATGCAAATGCAACAGGGCAATGACCTTCGGACTCGGACTCGGTCTTCAGATTTCAAACTAGTCGGACTGGCAACCTCTGGAAGGAACGGATCTTACGTTCCCTAGGTTTCTAGAGTAACGTGAAGGGAGAAGATGCAGGAAGTTGCCATGCATACATGGTGAAAAACTGGTGGATCCCATGTATCAATCATGATTTGTCTCGTTTCATATCACAACCCCGGGGATAACTCTCGGAGTCGGAACCAGCTGAAAACAATGGCAAGCTGATGCGAGATTGGATGTCCGAACTGTCCTAATTTGTCAATCAAAGCGAGCCTCGGCACATTGATATGTACCGCTCCCCGTCGCTAGCAACTAGAGTCTGAATGCTGCGGAGAAAGTCTTGTCCCGATTGATACCCTATAGACCTTTCATTGCAATACGCAAAGTCACACATTGGTCGTACCAGCCTGTGCAGAGTCAGTGAAACCTGAGCTACACAATGACCGGTAATCTTCAGCATACCGGAGAACCGATTGCCATTGTGGGAAGTGCTTGCCGCTTTCCAGGTGATGCAACAACCCCCTCGAAGCTATGGGACCTGCTTAAAGCACCTCGAGATGTTCTTAGCGAAATCCCAGAAAGCCGCTTCAGCACCAAAGCGTTCTACCACCCCGATGGCCTTCATCATGGCACTACGAACGTTCGACATTCCTATTTGTTGTCCGACGATCATCGATTGTTCGACGCCCAATTCTTTGGAACCAAGCCAGTGGAAGCAAACTCGATTGATCCACAGCAAAGGCTGTTGCTCGAGACTGTCTACGAGGGCATTGAAACGTCTGGCATTCCCATGGAGAATCTACAAGGGTCTAACACGGGCGTATACGTTGGTTTGATGACCAATGACTATGCCGATATGCTAGGTCGGGATGTACAGAACTTTCCAACTTATTTTGCATCGGGAACTGCCCGAAGTATTCTATCTAATCGTGTCTCCTACTTTTTCGACTGGCGCGGTCCTTCGATGACCATCGACACAGCGTGCTCTTCTAGTCTGATCGCGCTACACCAGGCTGTACAGAGCTTGCGAAGTGGCGAGACTGATGTTGCTGTCGCAGCAGGAACCAATCTTCTGCTGGGACCGGAGCAATACATTGCAGAGAGTAAGCTGAAGATGCTCTCCCCAACGGGCCGCTCGCGCATGTGGGATAAACGCGCAGATGGATATGCACGTGGTGATGGAATTGCTGCTGTCATACTAAAACCATTGAGCGCAGCATTGGCAAATGGAGATCACATCGAGTGCATCGTTCGGGAGACAGGTGCCAATCAAGATGGTCGCACCAAAGGAATTACAATGCCCAACCCTGTGGCTCAAGCAGACCTTATTCGGACGACGTACGCTCGAGCTGGACTTGATCTTTCTAAGCCCACCGACCGACCACAATATTTCGAAGCTCATGGTACCGGTACGTATTCTTAGTCTAACAATGACATAGCCTTGCTGATCAAATCAGGAACTCCAGCAGGTGACCCAGTCGAGGCGGAGGCCATCAGCACTGCATTCTTTGGAGAAGCAGCCAAATATCACCGTGATGGTGACCAGGAGGACCCCTTGTATGTTGGGTCCATCAAAACAGTCATCGGTCACACCGAGGGGACGGCTGGATTAGCAGCGGTCCTCAAAGCCTCGCTTGCTTTACAACATGCTGTCATCCCGCCAAACCTACTGCTCAATGAGTTAAGTTCCACGGTACTTCCCTTCTACAGCGATCTTGAAATTCTTCAAGTCGCAAAAGAATGGCCTGAACTTCCAAAGAATACCCCTCGCCGTGCTAGTGTGAACAGCTTTGGATTTGGTGGTGCAAATGCACATGCAATTCTAGAAGCATTCGATGCGCGCCTGCTTACTCGTGGTCGCAACACCGCAGATGGCAGCTCCGTAGCAGTGTCACCGTTCAATTTCTCTGCTTCCTCCGAAAAGTCGCTTCTTGCCAACATTGCAGCATACGCGGCATATTTGCGAAATCATCTGGATGTCAAACCCCGTGATCTGTCATGGACGTTGAACTGTCGGCGTTCAACTTTGCCAGTACGGCTATCGGTAACTGCATCAAGCCCACAAGAGCTTGCTGCAAAGCTAGATGAAGCGGTCGTGTCCTCGGCAATAACACCAAGCACGCAAACTGGAAGCATTCGCGAACCAAAACTCCTTGGAGTCTTCACGGGGCAAGGAGCACAGTGGGCAGGGATGGGTGCTGAATTGCTAAAAAGCTCACCAATGTTCAGTGATTGCATCGCCCGTCTCGATCGGTCTTTACAAGAACTACCCACGGAGCATCGCCCTGTTTGGTTGCTGAGGGAGGAGCTTGGCAAAGATAAGTCCTCGTCTCGCATTGGGGAGGCGGCGTTCTCGCAACCTCTTTGTACAGCAATTCAGGTTGCGTTGGTTCAGCTTATTCGGGCAGCCAATATAAAACTCACTGCTGTCGTTGGCCATTCATCTGGCGAGATTGCCGCAGCGTATGCCGCGGAATATCTGAATGAAGAGGACGCTATCCGCATCGCCTATTACCGCGGGTGGTCTCTGCAATACGCAACAGATCAGGAAGGACAAAAAGGGGCAATGATGGCCACGGGGACATCATTTGAAGATGCAAAGGAGCTTTGCGAGATGCCGTCACTCGAGAACAGAATATGCGTAGCGGCTAGTAACTCCTCTGCTAGCATCACACTTTCCGGGGACGCCGATGCGATCGACGAGGCTAGGGAAATCCTTGAAGATGAGAAGAAATTTGCTCGCTTGTTGAAAGTAGACAAAGCTTACCACTCACATCACATGCTTTCCTGCGCAGGTCCCTATATCACAGCTGTCCGGAAGTGTGGAGTAGCCATTCAGCGCCCACCGAGTGGCAGTGCTACCTGGATATCTAGTGTTTATGGCGACAATATTGACAATGTGAAGGACAATCTTGCCGATACATACTGGAGCAACAATATGGTCAAACCTGTACTATTCTCCCAGGCCGTCACTTATGCAGTTGGTGCAGCTGGGCCATTCGACATGGCTTTGGAGATTGGCCCTCATCCAGCATTGAAGGGGCCTGCAATGCAAACGATCCAAGAAGTCTCTGGCCAGACATTGCCGTACACCGGGACCTTAAGCCGTGGCAAAAATGATAGTGAGGCTCTCTCATCCGCACTGGGCGCTCTGTGGATTGCTTTGGGTGAGAGTGTTGTGGACTTTGCGGGGTTTGAAATGAAGGCAATGCAACAGCAAAATCTTCCACAGCTCATCAAGGGCCTTCCATCGTATTCGTGGGATCATGATCGGGTTTATTGGCACGAATCCAGATTATCAGCCGCAATTCGCACAGAAAAAGAACCATTTCACTCCCTACTGGGTGTGAAATGCCCGGACGGCACAGAAAATGAGCTGCGCTGGCGCAACTATCTTCACCCCAGGGAGGTTTCATGGTTGGCACATCACCAAGTCCAAGGTCAGATGGTGTTTCCCGCTGCTGGGTATATATCGGCGGCGGTTGAGTCTGTCATTCAAAAGTATGGCCTGGGTTCTGTGCAACTGATCGACTTCCATGATGTGGTCATTGGACAAGCATTGGTGCTTGAAGAGAACGGGGGAGTGGAAACAATTTTCAGACTGTCGATCGATCAAGTTCAGGCTAATTGCGTGTCTGCGTCTTTTTCCTGTCATTCCGATTCAAATAAGGGGTCATCCAACATGTCTCTTCACGCATCTGCCACCCTGCAAATTATTTTGGGTGAGCCCACACACGATATCCTCCCACCACAAGCCCAGCCTCAAGGTTCATTCCTGGATCTCGAAGCCGACCGATTCTACAACTCGGTTTCCGATCTTGGGTTTGGCTACACCGGCCCCTTCCAGGCGCTTTCCAACTTGCGCAGAAAAATGGACGAGGCATCAGGTCATATCGGTGTCCCAGAGGATTCCGGAATCGAAAGACCGTTAATCATTCACCCAGCGTCTCTTGACGGGGCCATTCAGTCCATCATGCTTGCTTATTCCTTCCCAGGCGATGGACGTCTACGTACGCTTTACCTTCCCACTCGAATTGACAGGCTTCGCCTCAATCCGACTGCCTGTGTCACTCTTGCCCCCCCTGGTGTAGATCTACGATTCTATTCTGCAGTCACAGAAGCCCGCTTCGCTGAACTCTCGGGCGATGTTGATATATTTTCCGCAGACGGGAGACACACTTTGGTTCAACTTGAAGGACTTCATACAACACCACTGAGTCCATTGACATCAAAAAATGATGTTCCCTTTTTTACAGAAGTCGTCTGGGATGTTGACAGACCCACTGGGCGACAACCAGACAAAGTCGAAGAAATGCTTCCCCAAGACCGTTCCTTAGGCATGGATCTCGAACGTGTCGCCCATTTTTACTTCAAAAAACTCGAAAATTCACTTCAGCACTCCGATCGTGCAAATGCTACTTGGAACCATACCCATTTTCTCTCATATGTGGAGCATTGTACAACGTCTGTTGCTAATGAGGAGCATAAATTCGCAAAGCCGGAATGGGCCAATGACACCATAGATGATGTTGCTCCAATTCTAGACCGGTGAGAACAAGTCTCATGTTGACTGAACCCGAACAACACTGACCGACCTACATAGTCATTCCGAAAGTATCGACATCAAAGTGTTGTCTGCAGTTGGCAAAAGTCTTTCTGCTATCATTCGGGGAGATACGAATCTTCTTGAAATTCTGATGCATGACAACATGTTGGCGGAATTCTACTCCAAAACACTTGGAATAGACACCTACTTGGATGCTGTTGCTCAGGCGGCTCGCCAGATCAGCCATAGATACCCCCATGTTAACGTTTTGGAGATTGGTTAGTACACAAACCTTCTTTCTTTTGCCTGGTACTGATGTATTACAGGAGCTGGCGCCGGCGCTACTTCAGATCGAGTCATGCGTGAAATGGGCTCTTCATTTGCGTCATACACATACACTGATATTGTGGACTCGCAGTTCGATGAAGCACGTGAAAGATTCTCGTATTATCAATCCAGAATGGCATTCAAGGTGTTGGACATCGAGAAGGACATCGGAGAACAAGAGTATGAAGAGGGTTGTTTTGACCTTGTCATTGCCCCTCTGGCCCTGTACGCTACCAGAAAGCTTGAAGCAACCCTCACAAATGTTCGTCGGCTACTCAAGCCTGGTGGCTATCTGATTATGCTAGAGCTCACTGACCCTGATGTGATGCGCTTCGGGCTCATCCTTGGTGGCCTACCAGGCTGGTGGTTAGGCTACGAGGAGGGAAGAACATTATCACCGTGTGTATCGGAGGACGACTGGGAGGTTCTGATGCAAAAGTCGGGATTTTCTGCCTTTGAAGCCCTCGTGTCGTCTTCCAAAACCGTGCCTATACCATTCTCCGTTATGGTTACCCAAGCTGTTGATCACCGTATCAATTTCCTCCGTGATCCGCTGGCGGCTAATCATATTCCACTGGGTGTGGACTCATTGACAATCATCGGAGGCAAAACTCCCTTGACTGCTGATATGGTAGCCGATATCAAAACCGCGGTCCGTCCCCACTACGGCAATATCTACACAGCCAGTTCTTTAGGCGACCTCATCTCAGCAAAGCTGCCAGTAATGGGGACAGTGATTAGTTTGATTGAATTGGATGGGCCAGTTCTGAAACACATGACCCCCGCGGGTTTGAATTCATTCCAAGAGCTCTTCAAACAAAGCAAGAATGTTCTATGGCTGGGGCATGGTGCTCAAGGGGAGAACCCCTATGGCAACATGTTTGTAGGAGTTCAACGCACATTGGCCATGGAGATGACTCACCTCCATATCCATTTCCTCAACCTCCATTCACTGCGTGACGCCGATGCCAATATTATTGCAACAAAACTCCTTCATCTGGAAGCCGCCGAAATTTGGGATCAAAGCGGACAGCTTGATGGGATATTGTGGTCCAACGAGAGGGAATTGGTGCTTGAGAATGGGAACTTCAAAGTTCCTCGATTCCACCTCGATTCTGGCCGAAATGATCGATATAATTCCTCAAGGCGTCTCATCATTAAAGATGTTGCACGTGACAGGTCTGTGGTAACCATCCAACCAACAGAAACTGGGTATCAAATTGAAGAAAAAGACCTTCGAGCCTCGCCCTCTTTCCCAGATGATGTGAATATTGATGTGACTCACTCTTTGCTCCGTGCCGTCCGTATCACTTCATCAGACAGTTATTTCTTGGTGGTTGGGAAGAATACTTGGAATGGTGAGCGTGTGGTCGCCCTGTCGCATACTCTGGACTCCCAAGTTCGTGTGCCGAGTGGCCTAGCGGTGCGATGTGGAGACTCTGAACACCTAGGAGTTCGATCGATGCTCACCCTCTATTTCCATTTTCTTGCTCTCTCCATGTTACAACAACTTCAATCGGGAAAGACGCTCGCTGTGTTAGACCCTGACTTTTCGCTGTCACCTGTCCTTACGAAATATGCAAACGAAAAGGGTGTCCACCTTGTGCTTTTGACAACAAAAGAAGGACACTGCTCGTGGCCATGGATCCGAATACACCCAAACTCCACCCGGCGCGAAGTACTAACCAAGTTACCTGGCATTATTTCACGAGTTGTCAATATGAGTGGCAGCTCTGATGTGACTAATCTCCTAAAGACATGTTTGCCGCCATACTGTCATTTCGAGAGCGAGAGCACGCTGACTGCAAACTGCTCCCAATCTCTATATACCTCAGATAGAGGCCAATTGGCTATGCAGCTGCAGAACTCCTGGACGAGAGCACAATGCGACCTGATGCCAGTCAATATGCACAAGTTTATTGCTTTAGGACTCGAGGACTTGATCCTTGCCCAGTCCCCGCTTTCACAGCAGTCTTTAGTTGCATGGGGTGGATCACAACTTGCTGTCCAGGTTCGCCCTGCTACCAAACAGGTCAAATTTTCAAAAGACAAAACTTACTGGCTAGTTGGACTGACAGGCGGGCTCGGCTTGTCGCTTTGTCAGTGGATGATCGGACAAGGGGCACGATACATCGCTCTCTCAAGTCGTAATCCAAATATTGATGACCAATGGTTGCAGAGAATGGCTGCCAATGGCTGCACTGTTCGAGTCTTTCCCAAGTAAGCTCTTCCTTCTTTTCTGGGTTTGGGCTCAAGCTAATACATCCAGCGACATAACGAATCGGGAATCCGTTCAAGTAACCTATCGAAATATTAGCGATAGCATGCCTCCCATTGCTGGTGTTGCACAGGGTGCCATGGTGCTCCAGGATACAATGTTTATTGATTTGGATCTTCCTCGCCTTGAGAAGGTTCTCCGTCCCAAAGTTGAAGGTAGCATATTACTCGACGAATTATTCCCAGAGGACACGTTGGAATTCATGGTCTTCTTTTCATCAATGGCTGCGATGACAGGAAACCCCGGCCAGGTTGCCTATAATGCCGCGAATATGTTTATGGCGAGCCTGGCAGCTCAGCGCCGAAGCCGTGGCTTGGCAGCACATGCGATTAACATTGGCGCCATTGTCGGTAACGGCTATGTGACGCGAGAGCTTAACATGGGTCAACAATCATATCTTTACCGAGTTGGCCATTCATGGATGTCTGAACAAGACTTCCATGAGGTGTTTGCCGAAGGTGTCCTATCCTGCTTAGACCGTGTAGGAAGTGCTGAGTTATGCTGTGGACTCAGAATTGACGATGACGAGTCAAAGAGTTGGGTTTCTAACCCAATGTTCCAACATCTGGTTTACAAGTCTAGCAGTCTTGTGGTAGCGGAAAAGAAAGGGAAATACGGCGTCTTGATTAAAACGCGCCTGTTCGAGGCAACTTCAAATCAGGAGGTTATCGAGATCTTACAAGGTACGAGCGTCGCAAGTTCTATACGCAGTCGAAACTAAGTGTTGTTCTTTAGATGGCTTTGTGTTGAAGCTCCAGTCAGCCCTTCAGGCTGACCCCAACAAGCCCATGTTGGACATGAGTCCAGATGAACTCGGTGTGGATTCGTTAGTTGCCGTTGACCTTCGATCATGGTTCCTTAAGGAGTTAGGCGTCGATATGCCGGTGCTGAAAATCTTTAACGCGGCGTCGATTCGTGAGCTTTTGGCCACTACTGCTGAAGTTCTGCCAGAATCCTTGATTCCCAATCTGATGACCGGCGACCAGGCTGCAAAGCAACCTGGGCCTCATACCACTAACGTATTGAACAAGGTGGCCTCGGGTTTTCCTGTGGCTGCAAAAGCTTCTCGCACGGATTTGCCTGTCGAATTGAAGTTTGCACTTCCAGACGCAACAAACGCGTACAGTGGCAGCTCCACGACTTCTTTAATCACTGGAGATTCGAATTCCGAAGATAACGACGACACTTCTTCGTCCGTATTTACTGACAACAGCGAAATGGGGCCCGCAAAACGGGAAATCCAAAGAACTGTGCCAATGTCCTATGGGCAGTCTCGTTTTTGGTTTCTAGATCATCTGGTCGAGGACAAGACAGCATTTAACATTACACCGACCTTCGAATTGTCTGGTCGTCTAAGAATTGAGGAATTTGCGAATGCTGTACAAACCGCGGCACAACATCACGAAGCATTGCGTACTTTCTTCTTCACTGACAATGAGCGAAATCATATGCAAGGCGTTTGGACGAGATCGTCTTTGCGTCTGGAGCATGTTGCAATCTCGGACGAGACAGAAGTCAAACAGGCCTCGAAACAGATGGAGGCACACGTGTTCAAACTTTCTGATGGTGAGATCATGCGGGTTCGGCTGCTTTCGCTAAATCCAGAAAAGCACTGGATAATCTTCGGCTTTCATCACATCAACATGGATGGCATTAGCTTCGAAGTATTCTGGTCAGACGTGGAAAAGGCATATGAAGGCCAGCCTCTTTCCGAAGATGGACTTCAATATCCAGATTTCACTATGCGTCAGCTTCGTGAATACGAAGAGGGCGCCTGGGCTGCTGATATCGCTTACTGGCGAGCACAATATATCGAGATTCCACCCGCAATTCCCCTTCTTCCATTTTCCCTACAACCTATGCGGCCCAAGATTGCTCAATTTGGGTCTCATACTGCTCAGATTCGTCTCGATATCAGTTTGTCGGATTCAATTGACCGGTGTTGCCGGATGTTCAACTCAACACCATTTCACTTCCATTTGGCAGTCTGGAAAACGCTTCTTCTGCGGTTCTTTGATATGGAGGATGTTTCCATCGGCCTGGGGGATGGGAACCGTACCGATGCCGACATTCTGCGGAGCATGGGACTTTTCTTGAACCTCCTTCCTGTGAGGTTCTTTCAGCAGCCATGTCAATCCTTTGGGGAATCTCTCAAGGAGGTCCGGAACATCACACAGGATGCATTTGGACACTCGCGTGTGCCGTTTGATGTGATTTTAACAGAACTTAACGTTCCGCGCTCCGCATCACACAATCCCCTATGCCAAACTCTCTTCAACTATCGACCCAAGGTCGAGCAATCACGAAGCTTCTGCGGTTGTGTAGCCGATGGCGCACTTTTGAGCGGCGGCGAAACCTCTTTTGATCTTGGTCTAGATGTTGGCAACGTTGGTGCGGGCGAGACGCTAGTTCACCTATCAGCCCAGAAAAGCTTGTATGGAATGGAGCATGCTGAAATTCTTCTCGGCTCTTACGTCAATCTTCTCCGGTCTTTTCTTCAAAATCCAGCCACTCGGGTGGCCTGGCCGGAATTACATTCCAAAGATGACCTCCAGGAGGCAGTCGCTGTGGGCCGAGGCATGTTTAATTACTCCTTGATAATTGTAGGTACTTTGCTAAAACCCTAAAACCACAGGACCGGAGCTCCGAGACGAATATGCTATGACTATCGTCCATCGCCTAGATGAAGTTGCCTTGCGTTATCCGGAGCGTGTCGCATTGAAGAGCCACGATGGCAACTCCTTGAGTTACGCTGAAGTCCAGCGTCGGATCGATGCTATCGGCCATGAACTCTTACGCAACGGAGTTGGCATAGGCACCCGTGTTGGCGTTTTCCAGTCCCCGAGTGCGGACTGGATATGTTCTCTCATGGCCATCTTGCGTGTCGGTGGTGCGTACATTCCATTGGATAAAAAGGTGGGGATGAACAGACTGGCCATGATTATGAAAGAAACACACGCACCCATGGTATTGGTTGATACAAACTCCATGTCTGACTATGCGCATTTGCAAACCACGGCGAAACCCATTAACGTGTGTACACTAAACGGCTCCCCTGCACGTGCCGTCCGGAACATGGCTGTGCCAAGCCTGACAGCGGTGATCATGTATACTAGTGGATCAACTGGTGTCCCAAAGGGGGTTATGATTGCCCATTCGGCATATGTCCACCAGGTTCAGTCATCCAGCGACGTCTGGAAACTTAAACAGGGAAGCGAGACCATTCTTCATCAATCATCTTATGCGTGGGACGCGTCTTTGTGGCAGATAATGGTCTCCCTATGTTCTGGCGCGACCCTTGTAATTGCATCTGATCTCACAAGAGGCGACCCTGTTGCTCTCACAAGACTTATCGCATCGGAGAATGTCACATGCACCCTTGCGACGCCCACAGAGTATCTCACTTGGGTGCGTCATGGTCGCCCCCACCTCATTAACTCTCGCTTGTCGACTGCGATATGTGGTGGTGAATTCATGCCAAGTGGCTTGATCAAAGAGATTAAGAATCTCCATCGGCCAGACCTCAAACTGATAAACGCTTATGGACCGGCGGAGATCAGTGTTGCATGCTCGGGTAGTGAAGTCCCGTACAGCCTGCTAGATTCGACGTCAACGTCCCCTGCATTCGCGCTTTACACTCTACCAAACTACTCTGTTTACATTGTCGACGAAAATTTGAACCCTGTTCCCATCGGAGTTCCTGGCGAGGTGGTTGTTGGTGGTGCAGGGGTTGCGCAGGGCTATCTTGACGGCCCCAAAACAACTGAACGCTTTTCAAATGATCTGTACGCGAGCAAATTTTTCAAGGAAAAGGACTGGACAACAATTCACCGCACTGGCGATCGCGGAAAGCTCAATTGCGATGGTGGTCTTATTCTCCTGGGGCGCCTGGACGGGGATAACCAAATCAAATTGAGGGGAATTCGCATCAACATTGAAGAAATCGAGACGGCGATCGTCAGTTCTTCAGCTGGAGCTATCACACAAGCTGTTGTGTCCATTCGTTCAGATGCAACTCAATCTGAGGGCGATCAATTTCTTGTTGCATTTGCTACAATGGCTACCACACACGATTCTGAAAATGCGGTTCAATTTCTCGCGCGCCTTTCCCAAGAGCTGCCATTACCACGTCATATGCGACCTGCTGCTATCATTCCAGTTGAAAACATTCCCCAAAATACCTCGGGGAAAACTGATCACGTCGCAGTCAGCGAGCTTCCTATTCCGTTGATTTCATCCCAGCTGCCGGACGACAGCACTCTCACGACATTCGAAGAGTCATTACGTCAGCTCTGGCAACAAGCACTACCACGGGAACTTAGCAAGTTTCACTCAATTAGTTCCCAATCCGACTTTTTCCACGTTGGGGGAAGTTCCCTCGCCCTTGTCAACCTACAAGCTCTGATCAAGGAGAAACTCGGTGCAACTATGGCGTTGTATCAACTTTTTGAAGCTAGCAGTCTAAGTGCCATGGCGGCCAGGATTCAAGATATATCTCGCCCCGCACTTGAGCTAGATGTGAATTGGGATACAGAAGTTGAAGTCGCATCCAACCTCACTTCATCTCTATACGGTGACTCTGGGCCGCGTAGGGCTTTTGGGGTCAAGACTGTGGTGCTTACAGGGGCAACAGGTTTCCTTGGGAAAGAAATACTCCGAAGACTCATACAAGATGGAAAGGTCTCATTGATCCATTGTCTTGCTGTCAGAAACCGATCCTTGGGTTTACATGAACTATTTGCTCATCCGAAAGTTCATTTACATTATGGTGACCTGGGAGCTCCTCAACTAGGACTCTCAGAATCTGAGGCCGTATCTATATTCTCCTGCGCAGACATTGTTATTCACAATGGCGCGGATGTTTCGTTCATGAAAACGTATCAGACCCTCAAGCTGATCAATGTGGCATCGACAAAGGAACTCGTCAAGCTTGCATTGCCCCGGTGTGTTCCATTTCATTTTGTCTCGTCGGCCGGTGTTGCACGCCTTGCATCCCAAGAAAGCTTCGGGGAGACGTCAGTCTCATCATATCCTCCTCCATCTCGACCAACAGATGGGTACATTGCTGCCAAGTGGGTGAGCGAAGTCTATCTGGAGCACATCAACCGCCAATTCGGTCTCCCCGTATGGATCCACCGCCCATCGAGCATCACCGGTACTGATGCACCGGAACTTGATCTGATGGGTAATGTGATGCGGTTTACCAAAGAAACCCAGAAAGTGCCAGACTCGAGTTCATGGTCGGGAGTCTTCGATCTCATTTCTGTACAGTCAGCTGCAAGCCAACTCCTCGAAGCCGTTTACCAATCCAGCGTGGCTGAACTAGGTACAGGATCTCTGAACTACCTTTATGAATCTGGTGAGACGAAGATTGGACGTGATGAGATTATGCCCTTGATGGAATCGGGATCAGGGCAACAGTTTCAGATCGTTTCCCTCGACGAATGGGTGAATGCTGCCGAACAAGCAGGAATGAGTGTGTTGTTGGGGGAGTACTTGCGCAGGGCCTCCGATGGCCAAGTTCTCCTCCCCAGGTTGATCAAAAGTGCTGGATTTGAGGATGTACGGGAATAGAAAGTTCAAGTACTAGTTACCAACCTGTACACAGGTGGTTTAACGCCTCTACGCGGGAATGAGAAGAGATATATCTGACCTGTTTGAGATTTTCATCGACATCATTGCTCGCTCTCCTGATCCACGATGATAGGCAAGTTAGGCTTTTCGAGTCTCTCTTACTAGATATCTATCCCTAGTCGAATATATTTTCCTAGCTCTACGATTTCAAGTTGCAGCGGAATGGGTTCTCCCACCAATATCATTCCAGGGCAAAAGCTAATCTTTCTTTAACATTTTTCCTACGAAAACAACCGGTATTGTGATAAAAAAAATAAAAAAAATAAAAAAAAAAGACTTACTTAATTGATATTGATAGCACTCATCGGTAGCAATTAACCAGACAGAATACTGTATAATCGAAGGTCGACACGGAGAGAACCAACAGTGGCCTTAATCACTTTTTTGTTTCTTTTTTACATTTCTCTACATCTCACGATGAAGACCCGACTATGCAGTCAGCTCCGGACGTTTGAATGAAATATATTTCAATTTAAACCACCGACAAAGTCCAAGGCCCATTTTCCTCCTGGGCTTTGATGATCCTCTTTTTGAATTGGACGAACTTGTTGTTTTTCGTTGGATTGTCAATACCCAGGTCAGAGTTGTGTATGTCAGGGATATAGGAAGCAGGCTATACTAGATACAATTTCCCCCATTTGCTATTTTTCTTGTTTTAAATAGCTCACTCAACCTCCACCCTTTACACAATGGTACATTATTGCATATATGAAGTGTGACCTTTCTGGGAAAGATATTTGAGAGTATCAAGAAACTAATGTCCCTTGTAAAGCTGTCTAATCTTTTCATTGCTGGAGTATGAACGTATATCTCTGCATTTTATTTCCACCCTACCAACATAAGTTGTATTGGAAACAGATAGAATCACAAACTCATCCGAATCCATCAGTTGACAATGGGTGAATGCAGCCCGAATTGAACAGCACTCCTGCAATACAAAACAATGCACATTATATGCAGAAAATGGCGTAAGCGACGTCAAATTGCATTGACAGGGTTAATCTTGCATCAGGGGGTGTTGCCATTCTTGGCTAGCGTTGAAAATCATCCCAATTATCACGTTAACTACGGGCGTACTGAGAATAAACTAGAATACAAGTAGTAAACTCGACATTCTCGTGGGGAGCATAAGGCCCAGTCATTATCCCAGGGTAAATGTATAAAAAGGCAGAAGTTGCAACTTTGACCGGAATCGCCGATTTTAAACCCATCATTGTATACCCAATAACCGCACTGTTTACGTTAATTCCTTTTTTTCCTGGTCTTTTCTTTTGATTATTGTTGTCGTCTGATATATTCTTCGGTGAGAAGGATTGAACTTTATATAACGAGTCTCCCAAATTCATGTGCGATTAGAATTCTATCAGCACTCTTTTTACAATCACAAGATGGCAGCCCGGGATGAAGTACCATCGAATCAGACCGGCATCATTCAACATGAAGGTGGTATTCTTCAAATCACTCATGGTCTGCCTATTCCAGAACTCGGGCCCCACCAAATGCTGGTGAAGACTGCCGCCGTGGCTCTTAACCCCTGTGATTATAAAATGCCATTGAGGTTCCCGACCCCAGGTCTGTGGGATGGGTGTGACTTTTCAGGCACAGTGGTTGCTTTAGGAAGCGAAGTTGCTGCACAGGGACGATTCCGTCTCGGGGATCATGTTTTTGGTGCTGTTCAAGGCTCAAATATGTCAGATCCACTGTCTGGAGCCTATTGCGAGTACATTCGAACCGAGCCAGACCTTACTTTCCACGTTCCTAGGGGAACGGATCTTGCCAATGCCCCCTCACTCTCAGGAACCGCAATTGCCACTCTTGGGGTTGCTCTTTTTTGGTCACTCCAATTGCCCGGAACATTGCACACACCAGCATCCAAAGCAGAGGATGTTCTGGTATATGGCGGAAGTAGCACTATAGGGCTACTTGCAATCCAGATGGTAAAACTGTAAGTATTCTATTCTTCTTTCCCGTGGCTTTCGGTATGTTCAAAGTAACTGATCTGTCTTCCTTAGCTGCGGCCACCGGGTAATCACCACATGCTCCCCTCACAACTGCGACTTGGTGACATCATACGGGGCAGATCTTGTCTTTGACTACAACTCTTCGACATGTGCTGAAGATATTCGAGCGGCCACAAAAAACACTTTGCGCTATGTCCTTGATCCCTTTGCGGAAGCCAAGACTCTGCGGATGTGCTATGCGGCTATTGGTCGTACTGGAGGAAGGTACTGTGCACTTGAGCAATATCAAGAAAGTCTTTGCTCGCGAAAGACAATCAAGCACGAACTAGTCATGGGAGGTGCTATCTCTGGGCGAGGTGTTGAGCTCCCAGACCCATACGACATTCGACCACGACCCGAGATCGGGGTATGGGCTCGGTCATGGTACGCAGAACTCCAAGAACTGATAGACAATGGGAAGCTTAGACCGTGCCCAATTCAAAACATCCCAGGCAAATTTGACGGGATCTTGGAGGGCTTGGACATGTTACGAAATGGGAGGGTCTCAGGGAAGAAGCTCATCGTCTCTATGACCACGAAATGAAAGCTTCTATTGAGCTGGACGGCTGAAAGAAGCATAGCCCAATTTCCAATTATTTTAGAGAATATGTGGTTTGATCGCAGGTCGGAATCACATATCTCTTTGTACACACAAGACGTGTCTCTTCGCTGTCCCTTGTGGTTATTGTTGCTAGTTAGTGTAATATGCTTCAGACGTAGAGAGCTCGCCGTTATCTCCTAACTCCAGTAGAAATGTGCCATCTCGTTAGACCAAATACCAGGGAACCAAGTGATAAAATATAAAAATGAGATTTTGTAAAGCATGATATTTGTAGTGGTTCTATACGGTGCATTCAAAATTTCGATTTGCGTTGAAAATACGGAATAATCAACATACAGAGTAGGTAGGATCTAATTTGGGCCGTCGTAAACCATCTTAGCAATAACCTTCTTCTGCTCCTTTGTCGTGCTAATGTTTCGTGTCAAATATCTCTTTCCGTCGAGTTCTTCAAATCCCCAAATCACTTCGGCGTCCCATCCCTTTGACGCATTCCGGGCCAATTCTTGAATAACCTTGTCACTCAAGCTACCCACCTCCAAAATTTCACGGATTGAGTCCTCGATTATATCAGATTTGTCGACAAATTGGAGCTGCATCTGAATATCTCCGAAGATAGGTAGCGAAACGTCTTGGGGTCTTCCATCAACTGGATAGCTTCCTTCGCTGTCAAACCCCCCTGGGTTGACGGTTTGTGTCATACAAAGAGTTATAACAGGTTTCAAATTGCCGGCCAGCTCAGAAATTTCATTGGGTATCCCTGTACCTTTTGCGGATAAAGAAGTGGTCTGGCAGATCTGCAACGAAAGCCGGGCGTGTCGCAAGACCTTTCTGACAACCCAAGGTACACCTTGCTATTCTTTCTTAGTAAACTAAAGTCAATATCTCAATTCGATATTGCTCTTACCAAGACGAAAACATCATCTGGATCGGTTGATAGCTTTCGGTTCTAATCACCATATTAGCCCATGAGTTAAGTAAGTAATCAAATAAGAAAACCTTAACGTACCAATACCCAGGTTCCAGTAAGGTCGGGAACATCTTTGAAATCAGGTACAGCCATACTCGGGGGTATAGATTTAACGAATGACTTGAGACTTATGTTCTTCCTTCTTTGAAAAGTATATCTCTTTGGTAATGAGGCGATTCGTTCCTTTTAAGGGTGAAGTTTAGTCTCCCTTAATCCCGTAATCTAGGGATCTCTATATGGATTCGAAATCGAAATCGGACTCGGACTCGGTGTCCGAACATGCAGGGAATGTCGAGCGGAGCAACTCATTCGTATACAGACCATCCATCGTAAAGCCTGCAGCAGCCCATCAACACAGCGAACAGTCTTGCATAGAAAATAATCAAACACGGCATGGTTTCCATCCTAAATCAATATCACCGGTTGCTCACTCATAGAGTAACTCTACATTACCTTTTATTCGCCCGGTTTGTGATACTCAGAAGTGTGAGGATACATTCTCCAACTCTGGGTGACCTTTCATTTATCTGATCTCTAGATATGGCTTTATTATTCTTTCTGATTATTGCACAATTAAATAGCCCTATACTAACTAATCCTAAAATCCAGCACAACCAAGGAGCAAGTAGATCTTTTTGAATATTGTTGGTTATTCTGAATAACTATACCATTAAATCATCACTGGATCTTTAACAAGTTGCCGCAAGCACTCCATTATTTCCATCAACGACATTTCACAGGGATCTTGTTCGTGTGCTAAGACAATCTCGCAGATTGATGCTGACCAACTTTTCTGGCGGATAGTTTCGGATGGATCGAACTCTTGATCCTCTTGGGGTTGAGCTGGGCTTGACCTCAATTTAAGGGCTTGGTCAAGCTCGCCCATTGTTTTAGAGCTGAGCTCAACTAATGATTGAACTTGTACAATGAGATTTCCTTCCAAATGAAATCCTCCAAACCGTACCTTCGGTAACACCAGAATCGTGGCTGCATCAGTTGGAGGTATGATGAGAAATAGCTGGTATAATCGCATGAAAATAGCACGATATATGCGGACAAGTGAGCAATGTGCTTCCAATATGCCAAGCCACAGTGCTATATCACATTTTGGTATTGGGGGATTTGTCATTCGATCCGGAGATGTCGTCGTGGTATGATACCCGGAATCATGTGGGGATACTGTGGTGGGATCTTCATCCATGCTATTGTAGCCAGCATCCCGAAGGATAAACCAGGAGTCCTCATATCCGCCGTTCTCCGATTCGAATCGTTGTGTAGCAGGTGTAACGTCCAAGATTTCTTCCTTCGTGCCACATGAAGATTGAATAATTCCCAAAAGCCAAGAAGAATGATCAAGTAGACGATATATTGGGAGGTCAAGTGTCTCAATAGGCAAATGAGAATTTTCATATAAGAGGGATGAAGATTGTAGAAGCATTGATCCAGTTTCAAACAGTTCCAAATCTTCAAGAAGAGCCAATTTCAATCCTAAGAGACTCTTGCGAATGTCTTGCGTAGAGGAGAGAGCTTCTTTTCTTGTCGTCATCGGAGGAGGCTTAATTATAGCTGCAAGGTCTGGGTGATTCCCCCATGCAGGATCTGGAAGGTTCTTGGCTGTAAATAGGGATTCATGCTTGCCATAACTGAGACACTTAGTTTGAAAAGGCTCGGGGATTGGAATTCCAGTGGCTTGGATGGGAAAGGCGTTCGTGCTTGATCTCATCTCGTGATGGACATGGCTGTTGAAAACAAAGGGAAAACAAGAGTTTCCCTCGCGAGGATATGATTGGTCTGATGGCATCCAATCAGAAGGCTATAGTGATTAATAGTCAGTAAATGGCTAGTGTGCTTTCCCTTGGGCTCCAACTCACTAGGTTATAGGTATCGGTTGACCAATTTGAATGAGGATCACCCCACTGCCCAACCGGAGCCATGATGTTTCCAACATCTAGGGGAACATTAAACCCAATGTCTGCCGAGGATGAAAGAAAGCTGCCCCCAGGAACAACAGGCATTGGGGCTACTCCTTCCCAGCAGTGGTGCTCTTTCATATTGTGTCGCCCTGGGATTGGAGAGGGAGAATGCAACAACTTCTTCACTCTGGAGCCGGATGATTTGTGAAGCACAGACATTGACTCATGCCTTTGATTGGATCTTTGGCGCTCGCGATCATCTCGGACAAGTAGACTCTGGCTATGGGTTGAGGGTAAGATGACCGGTGCAGGCTGATTCATACTTGTGATACAAATTTCTTGGGCCTTGAGGCATCGCTCACAAGACATGCCATTCATATGATCGCGCTCGCATCGCAACTTTTGCCCGCGACAACGATCACAGGCGGACCGTCGAGAGTGCCGATAATTCTGGGTCGGATGCATTGGAAGGATAAAAAAAACAAGAAACAATATTCTCTATGGCGGTCGACAATTACAGAGATAGACCATTGAAAAGAAGCTACAAAGGGCAAATATGTACTCCGTTCTTGCTCGATTAAAATTGAATGGAATATTGGAACCCACCAATTGGCTTGAATCATTCCCATCAGCACATCTAAACATACTTCAGGCTCGAGGAAAGATAGATGTATTCGAAATTAGAGCCTGAGAAAAAGGCTAGGAAAGCGCGTGGGCTGGTATCACCGCGTCTGTATACCTCTCCTTGGAACATGATCCACAACATTTTTGAAGCTGACCCTACGTGGTGATTCGTTGGATACTCCTGAGTTTTGCACCTCCAATTCTCAGGTGTGACAAGTTCCCAAATCATGTCAACTTAATCCTCTCACAACATGTGTATGGACATGCGGACATGCAGACGGAAGTTTAAGGGTATTTCCATCGCATCCAAAAACCGAAGGCTGAGCCCCAGAGTCCTGGTACGAGGTGCGTCAGGATCCATGGAAGATGTTACACCATTCTCAAATGGGAGCAATGTATCAGGGAAAATATCTGGCGTAATACAACGGAGGTAAATATTGTCTCACATAGCGCTGCATCTGAAACTTGAGCTCCCCTTTACGCAGAGTGCCCAAGAGGTTGAGACGGCTTCAACAGTCCTTTGACCCGAGTTGAATACCACGGAAGAAATGGAGATGACCATCTTGTGAGATTAAACAGACTAATACGGAATGTAGTCTCAAGGACACAAGTCATCCCAACGACGGTGCCTAAAAAGCAGCCGGTTGGTCGCAGATATGGACCTACCCTATAGTACCTGCCTTGTAGGCATTGGAGAAGAGCTTGATGCCACTAATTAAGACTTCTACCCTAAATATTATCAAAAGAAACCCGAATCTGGTTTGGAAGATCGCATTTCACGTCGAGGCCGAAGCCGCATCAAAGTTCGGAGAATTAAGGCCATCCTAGACCCGAGCTGACAATGTTCCGGCTTGACGGTTCTGGGCCCGCTGGGTTTCATATTTTTCCTCCACGTTGTGAACTCCACTGATTACGAAGTATTCGAGTACCAACCGTCCAGGAGCGGGGATTTCCAAGTAAGGAGTTAAAAGCCCGACCATGCCCTTGGCTAGAGCGCGACTGGCTTTCGAACACTGGAGATGGCCATCAATCATAGGAGGCAAGAATATGAGGTATAATTCAAGGTTGGACCTATCCACTTCTCTTATTTATTCCTGTCGTGTAGAAACCCGTGCGCTTTACCTTGGAGGTCAAAAAGCCGATGATATGCATTATTTATATCAAGGCTGGCAGCCGCTTATCTCCCAGATTTGCGCCTAATCTATCCGCTGGACTAGCTCTAGATGAGAAAGATCTTTTGGAAGTTTTCAGAATTTTGGCGTTACTTCTGTAGTTGTAATGAGCCAGCCTTCAGCGGTACTCCCAGCTAAGTCACATCCCCGTGAAACTCGCTCAGAATCAAACAAGCATTCACCGATAGAGAAGAAAGTCAAAGCGCCTTTATGGGGAGTCTTCACTCTGCCTTAGGCGTCCGTTCCAGTCCGTTATCATAACGCGGACTCCCTGACTTCCTTTCCGCGGGTGGCCATTGAACATGTCTCGTACAATTCGAACGTCATCTACTGTAGTCTCGTAGAGCTCCATCTCAAATTCCCGGAAAATGGTGGCGATTGCTAAAAGAATCTCCGCTCGCGCCAGGCTAGTCAACAGACGTTAGTATGTCATTAAGATGGAAAAATCAAAACAATCCACGTACGGAATTCCAATACACTGTCTTGACCCCTTGCTGAAAGCAACCAGATACTTTTCAAGGTGTTTCCTCTGCTCTAGGTCCATCCATCGCTCGGGGATGAAGCTTTGCGAGTTTGGGAAAATATCTTCATTGTGGTGCATAAATATGCTGGTCATCCCCACAGGTGTCTAGTTTATAATCGTCAAAATGCGACCTGGGCAACCACAAAAAAAAGGGGGAAGATATCGTACCCCGGGAGGAATGGTCCAGTCATTGTAAGTCATAACCTGATCTGGAGAGCTACGCTGAAGCCTCGTTGCCACAGCGTTGGTGATTCTTCATGGGGTCAAATAAGTAAATGAAAAAGTCGCGTCGGGGGGAGTTAAAAGACAAAGGCCTGACATACCTCAGGCCCTCCAGCATAACAGACGTCTGCTGTATTGTCAGATATTTTGGAATTTCATGAACTCGACATTGAGAATAGACACCTTACAAGGTACGGCATTGTTTCGTATTCTACCAAAGTTGCTGTTCCATCGGGGTCGAGTCGGTTGAGCTCGTCCCGTAGCCTTTGTAGTTTGTCTGGGTTGTTAAGTAAATGGAAGGTAAGTGTCGTTAAGTTTTTCGCAGTCGTTTCTCCTCCGGCCGAGATTACGGTGAAAACCTCTTGACTCAACCGGCCAGGGGCCTTCTCCTCTGGGGGAAGCTTACTGTCTAGCAGCGCGTGAAACAATGTGCCTTGAGGTACACTAACCTTATCATCTGCTGAGTTCCCATCGGCGCTTTGGCTATCAATAATCGCTTTCGCTAGTCGCAAACTTTCCATTTTCTGATCAATTACCGGGCCGATGTGAGGGTTGATAGCCATAACTAGCCATCGTGGAAGCAGTTCAAACAAACTGAAGACCCAGCGAAACTGTTTGAATTGAACTCCGACTTGCACAATTGCCTCAATGGTCTTTGACCACTGCGGTGTGAAATCAGGGTCATCCAAATAATGGAACGATTCACCCATAGAATACTCCACAACCACGTCTGTTGTGTAGGCATTAAACGCATGATAAATATTCAGCGGTGTATCTCTCTCCTTCCACACTCGCATTCCTTTGCGCAGTTTATCAATCATTCCCCGGAGCATAGGTTCCAACTGCCGAATTCGCTGCTGAGAAAAGAACGGGTTCATAGGTTGTCGACGTATCCGATGGCGACGGTGATCGACTGAGCCGAAAGCGGAGGCCGGTGCCCCAAACATGCCAGTCAAATGTAACGATTTGTTCCTCGGCTTTTCTCGAGAGTATAAGATTTCATAGTACTCTGGGTCATCGATGTGTAGTTCAAAGGGGCTGATTCTCACAATCGGGCCGTATTTGCGATGCATCTCAGCAATTCGAAAAGTGTACTGACCTTCGAGGAATGAATCGTAATAGAACTCGTACCACATTGTCAGAGCGGCCAGTTTTGGTCCTGGGAAATGAGCCAGTGGTGAGAACCATAGCCGATATGTTGCCAACCACACCCCATAGGTCACTCCAACAACGCCAAGGGCCACAATGGGGTGTGTGATAACGGCATCCCACCAATCCATGATGGGTGGATTTGAAGTGAGAAGGAAAACACGTTGTAGACGAGGAAATACGCAAATGCTAATCTGCCAGTTCTCGGTCGGTGCTTTTGTATCTTCTTGAGTTGGTGCCCCACACCTGTCAGGAAGAACATTATGCCACTAGACCGGATGGACACAGGAGGGTGATTAGAATCCATACTGTCGGTAACTTCGAGTGCTGTACCTTTGTGGATGGGGAAGGGCCACGTGTAGTGGCAATCTTCTCCAACCTATCGCGGCACATCCGTGTTAGGACACTACTTCGGCTGTGGGTCTGAGAAATGTGTCCAGAGCTTAGGATCATCTATTTCACTCCGTATAAGAGGTTCGGATTGATAATTTCCAAGCCCCGTTCAAGGGCACGGGACCTCGGTGGAACCTTCAGGATCCCGGAGGGACAAAGCGTTGAAAGTGCCGACAGCTGAAGAATCAGTAGCTAGGAGATTATAATCATAGTAATGACCTCCTATGGTTGAATATTTGTTTTCACTTCTTTTGCCCAATGAACTCCACTCATCCCTTTTGTCCTCAGAGGGATGAGGTGGTAGAGATTTCTGCAGGATCTTCATGAAGATAGGGCGACGGTTCCCATTTGGGAATAGTGGAAATATCAAAAGATAAAAAAAAAGCCCCCACAGACAACGCCATTGTTCGTCAAAAGTCCATGAAATACGAGACATAATCTTTGCGTGGCATTTCGCGAGATAGGGGGGATATCATTTCCGGTGGTTCCCTAATATCATAGGCCGATCTCCTGGTCTCGAAATTATCATGCTCAGGCATTGCTGTGGAACCTTGAAGATGACAATCCCTTTGCTAAGACACAAACGGCACAGCCACAGCAAATAAGGGTGATCCGTCGTGTAAACAACAAATTCAATGAGCACGGCGTACTCCGTAGTACTTCTCCCAAGGCCGTACAGGAAATCAGAATTAGGGGTTCCCCCCTGGTCGTAGCGAGATATATTATCATATTACACCACTCATCTGCATGAAACAGCAGTTTTTCCTCACCAGCCCTTATTTCAGTCTGCTGCGCATCCCGAATTTTTTTTAATTTTGCAAGCCATCACTCATCCTGCGGGGTGAGGAGGTAGGGAGCGAAGTGCTGAAAACCCCTGAGCTCCCGCGTTTAGCCAAATTTGTCTAACATTAGGGTGTTGTTCCCTCTGGCCTTTTCTTGTCTTTAAAGTAGATGCCAGACTAAATTGGAGACACGCATTTATGCGTACTCGGGCATTGAACTGAGATGCATGTTCGCCGAGGTCCGAATGTGGAGAAACTGAGAAATTTATACAACATCCATGGTCAAAAATTTGATTTGGTATGCATGTAGCCTGCAAGCCCTACCTTTATCAGGACCATCATCAAAACAGATTTTGACTTGCCACCAACTCTCCAAGCTCATTTAGAATCCATAGATTCGTTCATTCACTCAACTATTCTCCCGTTGCAGCATTCCGATGACAATGACCGCTTCTTCGATCACCGTCGTGGGTATGCACGGACAGACTAGGAAAATAATGGGAATCCACGAAAGGAATGGGAGGAGCTATTAGGTCAGTTGAACGAACCTAGAACAAAAGTCAGAGACAAGCGGGACTGATAAATCGGCAGGTAAGGCGCGTACTCTAGCTGATTACTCGGGGTTTTACCGATTTGCCCTCCCTGGGGTCTATGGCGGTCAGTCACATCCAGACGTGAACTCATGGATTTCCGCCATTCGCTATCACTTGTCCTCGAATGCTGTATACGGTGGTGGTTTTGGATTGGCCAATGATTTACAGAATGAGCATAGTATCGTTGGAAATTTCCCAGATATTTTGATGCTCCACCATTTTGGTAGTCAACAGCAAAGAGATACCTTGATTCCTGCACGTTTGCAGGGGGAGTTCCGAACAACATTCGGTCTTACTGAACCAAACCACGGAAGTGATGCAACTTTCATGTCTACTACAGCTCATCAAATTCGGAAAGGCTTTGAGATTACGGGGGCAAAGAAGTGGCAGACAGGGGCGTATCACTGTACCCACCTTCTCATCTTTGCGCGAACTTCTGGTCAATCAGGATCAACACAAGGCATCACTGCATTCTTAGTTTCTCGTGACACAAGAGGGGTTCACATCGTTAGTTACGAGTGGACGTTAAAAAATGCCCACCGATCACGCAATGGTGGAACTGAATAGTGTACGGGTGCCTGGGTCGGCGGTTTTGGGATCGGTCGACCAGGGACTAGCCATCGCCCAAAAGTTTGTGCACGAGAATAGAATTCGTCAAGCCGCCAGCTCTTGTGGGGCCGCGCGATACTGTCTGGACGGAAGCATCGAGCGCGCACGGGCACGGAAGATATGGGGAGAGGAAAAAACCCTGGCCGATAACTAGACTATTCAGTTCCCAGTCGCTGAGTTAATGACACAGGTGGAGATGCTGCGACTGTTCATATTGAAGACAAGCTGGGAGATGGACTGTATTGGAAGGGCCAGTCGCCGAAAGCCCAGCACCCGTCGTGGTTTGAAATTGAGCGCCAACTCTCCGATCAGGTGGCTATGTGTAACTTCTGGGCAAATCGATTATGCTGCCAAGCTGCCGACCGAGCGATTCAGGTTTGTCCATACCGGCTGGTTCTTGAGACATGACTGACATATCAGATTCACGGGGGTGATTGATACTCTCGTCACTACCCTTTTGAACGTATCGGATCACGGAAGGCGCAGAGGAGATCCAGATGCGGAAGATTGGGGCGTATATTTTTGAATTGGCTGGCTTAAAGAAACAGGATATGGAACATGTTGAGCGTTCAAAGCCCAAAATTTGATCTGACCCCTAAACCGGGTAGCTGGGGTTGAGACCAGGCCTTTTTGAGAGAAGTACGACCGAATCTGCATCAACATCTTACCTACATAGGTAAGTAGAAGGAAGGTCCGGATATAGCTAGCACTAGGATATGAGACGTGGCCGTTTCAGAAGATCTCCTTGCATTGTTTTGTGTAAACACGTATATTAACTGGTGCCAAGTTGGGATTTTTCTTGTTGGACCTTGTGGCCTGTGTTTCAGGCAGAGTCACGTGGATGTGAGTAGTGTTGCCTCAATTCCAAGGCTTCGAAGTTCAAGTCTCCCGAGGTTTTTCCGAAACACACAGTCGTACAACAGTGTGTCCAGGAGCCCTCCGCGGTAGGAGTAGTGACGCCGTACCATGAGTGCTTTTGGTACTCCGTACATAGGAACATATACATATCTGACTAATATTCCTATGTATAGATTAGGTGTACATGTGTACATATATCCTAGGACAGGATCAAGAAGTCTTTCAAGATGGACTTCACTCTAAGTAACTCTAAGAGATGTGTACCTACATTTAGTAGATATTTCGCCTTTTATGTTATGTACCTAATACACATCGGTACTTCCCAAGATGTTTCTATGTTGTACAACATATGTACAATATGTTGTAGGGCTCTCCCGTCATTTCCTTTTCCGGCTGGTTCAAACGCCACTTACCTAAAATATTTAAGATTCTTGACTCCACCCATGGATCTCTTCTCGGAACCCCACCGAGCCCGTTCTTGGAAGCCTTTGCAGAAAATTCTTTGAACTTTTGACAATCTTGAAATCCAGATACAGTGGTGACAATCTCAGCTAGTCTAATTCGAATCCCTATTTCAATTCAATATACACATACACACACCCCCGTGGTGGCCCTGCCATGTCTGACATGGTCTCTCACAATACCTCTCGCAATGCCTCCGCGGCACACGATGATACCAAAACCTCGGCAAATGCGATCTCGACAGAGTCGGACAATGCTTTTCAAGACACGAAGGAGGCTGATGCCGAGCAAAATCATGCCGACACTTCCAACCCTGGGGAACTGAAGCGCAAGCTGAAAAGCAGGCATCTACAGATGATTGCGATTGGTAAGACTTGGCTTCTTTGATCAAAATGGCTTATAGGAGACGCTAACCTACCTCTGTCACAGGCGGAACTATCGGCACAGGTATACTCTATTGCCCTCAGGTCCTCGGCTTGATAAATCCCGAAATCTAACACCTTTCTAGGACTCTTCATCTCTAGTGGCACTGCCATCGCAGAATCTGGCCCAGCTGGCGCGTTGATCGCCTATATATTTGTCGGCTCCATTGTCTATTCTGTCATGAGCTCGTTGGGTGAAGTTGCAACCTATATCCCAATCCCCGGTGCCTTCACATCCTATGCAGCCCGGCTGATCGACCCAAGCCTTGGATTTTCCATGGGCTGGATTTATTGGTTCAACTGGGCCTCCACATTCGCTGTCGAACTTACTGCCACCGGTACCATCATCCAATATTGGGATCCTAGTCTGAACATTGCCATTTTCATCGGAGTGTTCTGGGTGTTCATCACGGCTATGAACTTTCTCCCCGTCAATTTCTACGGTGAGGTGGAGTTCTGGTTCTCCACTATCAAGGTGGCCACTGTTATCGGCTTTATCATTTTTGCCATTTGCATCGATGTCGGAGTTGGGGAGCAGGGCTATCTGGGCTTCCGATACTGGAGCACGCCGGGGGCCTTTGCCACATACAGTCCCCAGCTACCGGTATCGGTAGGCAAGTTCGTTGGTTTCTGGGCGGTGCTTATCCAAGCCGGATTCTCCTATCAAGGCACGGAGCTTGTCGGGGTGGCGGCTGGAGAAACCGAAAATCCACAAAAGACTGTCCCATCGGCTATCCGCAAGACGTTCGTTCGAATTCTCCTTTTCTTCGTCTTGACGATCTTCTTCATTGGGCTCGTGGTCCCCTATGACAACGCTCGACTCACCACCGCAACAACCAACGCATCATCGTCGCCTATGGTTATCGCGGCTGATTTGGCAGGAGTTAAGGTTCTTCCAAGCTTGATCAATGCCGTGCTCTTGTCTGTGGTTTTATCAGCGGCAAACTCCAATGTCTATAGTGGTAGTCGAGTCCTGACTGGATTGGCACATGAAGGATTTGCTCCAGCCTGTTTCGGTTGGGTGACCAAGCACGGTGTGCCCTATGTTAGTGTGATATTCACCGCTTTGTTTGGTCTGTTGGGTTTCATGAACATTTCCAATGACGCTGGTCAAGTCTTCACTTGGCTCGTTAACCTTTCTAGCGTTGCAGGCTTTGTAACCTGGGCCTCGATCAATGCGTGTCATATTGCGTTCATGCGTGTATTGGCAAACCGTGGGATTTCTCGTGATACCCTTCCGTATAAGGCCATCTTGCAACCATATCTCGCTTGGTACGGTCTTTTTTTCAACATCCTTATCGCTCTCACCCAGGGTTTCACTTCTTTCATCCCGCATTTCCGAGTGACGGACTTTTTTGTTGCCTACATCTGCCCCATCGTCTTTGTGGTGCTCTACGTCGGACACAAGGTGATTTTCCGTCCGTCATTTGTCAGTGCAGCCGATGCCGATATTGACACAGGTCGCTTGCATTACGAAAAGGAAGTCGACGCTCCCAAGCCATGGTACTGGAGGGTCTGGGGCTGGGTCACAAAGTAATATAGCACAGTTATCAATATTCGATAACTTGTATATGTGATTTATTTAGCGCAAGGCACCTGCTCATGGTGGCTGGCATGTTTACAGTACCGTTTTGTAACATTATTGTTTTCAGATATCGACGAGCCATTCTCGGAATCATGTATTTCTTATACTTTATGCTCCTGTATGCTCGTGCGGGTAATAATTTGGGAGGACACCTAGCGACACCTGGCTCCAGATTTTCATGGAACATCCCTCAATCACAACATGATCGGCCATGGTTGTTGTTTGTTGCCACAGTTTTTATATCCACTTTAACTGCCGGGCCACCACAGACAAGCCGCCTATCAATGCAGTTGCGCCGGTGCAAACGACAAGTGTCCCGTAGCCAGTTCCATATGCACCCAAGGCATGTCCTCGCCAGTTGTCTGCCCTGAGAAGCGCCTCACTTAGGGGGCCACTTGCCACATTGCCAATCCCACGCCCTGTTTCCATGAATGGGAAAATGACAGTTTCGTCTGCTAATGGATTGGCCTTCTGCACCTCGTGGGAGACCCCAGCCCATGTGGAGGAAAAGCCACCCGCAAGGAGACCATAGGCAATACAAAACACGTATAAAGGAGGGATAGTGTCGGCAAACCCCCAAACAAAGAAGACTGCGATAACGGTACCCACAGTCGACATCAAGATGCAGGTAGTGATGTGATATCGGTCGGAAAGGAATCCCATGATGACAGATCCAAACACGGTGAACAAATTGACGAGGATGACTGTGAGAGACGCCATGTAGTCACTCGCACCTAGACTGCGCGCATATGTCGGAAGGTAGATGGTCGGCAGGAAGAACCCGATTGCTTCCAGAGTGTTGCCAAGCTGGTAAATTATGAAGACTTTGTTGTACAAGAAGCGAAAATTCAGACGGTGATACGCAATTTCTGTCGTACGCAGTCTCGGTCGATGGAAGTAGAGGAAAGGCACAGCAAGAATGAACAATGCCACTGAGGATATTTGAAGCGTGGCTTCAATCCCATACTGGTTCAAAAGCCACTGGATGGCAAGTGGGAATACTATCCCAGATACACCGGACCCACCCTAATAATAGATATATATCAGTATCAGTTCGTCTTGCCGCAAGAAGGAGCTCGCGGGTAGAGAGTAATTTTGATAACTCACCCAGACAATACCAAAGGCAAGCCCTCTCCGCTTGTCGAACCACTCCGACATAAATAAGATGGTGGGAGTATAGGCAAAACAGCCACCAATTCCAAACCCAATTCCTTGTGACAAAATAAGATGCATGACGCTGGTAGAAAAGGAACTCAGTGCCAAAGACAAGCACATAATAACAACTCCTATAGTCGACACCCAGCGAGCAATTCTAGGCACTAAAATCATCAAAACGATTGCCAACGGGGCAATCAGGTATGCGATACCCTGGATGTTCTGTTAGTGAGAGAAGGGGGACCTGGAATATCCGGACAACTAACCATGGCACAAGTACCAATAACTGCGATATTTTCAGATCCTTTAAATGGCTCATGCGTACTGTAGTAGTCTTGAAATATACCAAAGGCGAATGCATAACCTGTTCACATGTTAGTTTCATCCACAATTCATCCTCGGCCAATGACCACGTACCCCAAACTAGAGCTTCGAGCATTGCAGAAGCCATAAGGAAGAGCCATGCTTGAACTCCTCCGTCGACTGGTGGCAACTTCTCATCATCTAGAATGATTCGGCTGTCAGACTGTTGGTCGGAGGGTATGAAGGATGTGCTCCGGCTGGTGAAACTAGGAGGATACTCCTTAGGCTCCATGATGTGAAATATCTCACGGATCTGTAGCCACGGGCGTAGTGAGGATCCGAAAATACAATGGGTTTGTGTGCGAAAGCCACGGGGAGACCCTCCTTTGAAAAGGCTTTATATTCAATGCGGCCGTTGAAAGGAAAGCCAGGATCGTCCTGGGAAAAGGAAATAAGCTAATGGAAGATAACTGCATGACGAAATAAATCTCCTTGACAAGGATCATCCACCCAATTGGCGTCTCAGGAAGGTAGCGCAAAAGCACATACCTGGAATCCAGGTGGACTGGGGTCCCAGCAATGTGATGCTGAACCCCTAGATGTACTGATATGGTCCGTTTCACAAGTCACGCGTCCAGGGACACCATAGCGTGGTGATTACTCATTTCCCTAGGTCTTCAGTTGATACCAGTAGATATCTTCCCGATGAAGAGGTTCTTCTCTGTCGTTCCTCATTGCATGTTGAGATATTAGGCAGGGTTTTGCCATTTGCTGCTATTCGAGGCCGTGCCGATCAGATGCGGGATCTGCTCTAGAAATAATCCGAGAGAAATGACAACGGCCTCCTTTAGGCTTGGGTCACTGTGTGGGTGCACGAACCGCCCCGCTGAGCGGATCAACTGGGAAATGGAATGTTGATCAGGATCACTGCATAGCAGAGCTGGTGGGTTCGGAGAATTCCATGTTGATAACAGGTATCTGAACCGCTGTCATTGGCAGAGATAAGAACAAAAGGAGAGTCACCTTTCTCCTGATGTATGAAGCTTCGTGGCTGGGTAGATTCGATCAGTATAGATACTCCAACCTCTAAATTCTGTCATTTACAGAGGCAACTTAGCACTCTTTGCATGCGTTAAGCTCATTTGACACTACAAAAGGATATAATTGTTAGAATAACGTGTCTTTAATAAGATATTGTCGGCAAATGGGACAATAGACAAATATACGATGTCGTACCTCTCCAAAAGCTGCGCGGAGAGGTTGAGCAACATTCCAGCCAACAAAGCTAACGCAAGTTTATCCATCAAGCCAGACAGCATAATCTCCTGACATTATGTATTAGCGATTCCACTTTTCATCATAGTTGATGACATTTATCCTCATGAAATCTTCACAAACTGGATCTTTATCATCATCACCTGCCGTCGCGATCATTGTAGATTTTGTCTCCGTGTTTTGTTGATTCGGGGGAAAAACGGTTCGAACATGTTTGTCATGGCCGTAGACGATCTTTTACGGGTTGTCTTGCCATATCCATGACTGATGAGATTCACATTTTATAGATGGTTTGAGAAAACCTCTTCCGAGGTTAGTCCCTGGGGCCAGATGTGGATGGGTTTATGTAATCGGGTGATTCCGGGCGGGAGGGCCCCGGGAGGTCATCCTCCCAGTTTGAAGAACTACATTACCCAAATCAAATTAAATATCTTCATGAGTTGTGGTCAGCTCAAGGAATAAAATGCATCATATAAGCACTGGGCTCTTTATAGGCCTGAGTATTATATTTTTATTTTCATTATTATTATCATCGAAATGAATTGAAGTAAGCTAGGAGTTCCAGACTGCAACTACTGACACAAGAGAGTGAAGGCCTAAAAATCCGCCGCGTCCGGCAACTTCTCGGGAGTATCACTTCGGAATCTGTTCGTGACCAGGTTCCCGAAGGAAGGCGACCAGTCCACGCGCGGGGATAGACTGTCTAATCCCCAAAGCTCAGAGACAAATTTGAGGATAGAAGTATGCGTGAACTCGTTCCCCTCGCTGGGCTTATGCTGGACCAGGCCTTTGGAAACCCAGGGGGAGATCAAGACTGTAGGAACCCGAATCCCGAGGCGATCAAAGTGGAACGTGTATTGCTCACCATCCCGAGCAGTCTCCGTATAGGTCAGACTGTCGCCAGCGGGAACGTCAGTGGGAGGCGAAACATGATCAGCAAAACCACCATGTTCATCCCAGGTCAGAATGAAGAGGGTCTCATTCCACTGCGGCGAATTGCGCACAGCCTCATAGATGCTCTTGACAAAGTTCTCGCCCATGTTGATTGGGGACGGAGGATGCATTGACATATAAGAGCAGCACTCGGGGTTGATCCAAGTAAACTGTGGCAGCGCTCCAGCTTTGGCATCACTATAGAACTGGGAAATCGGAACGACGTTATCCTTGCCATTCTTCGCGGTCCAATCATAGAACAACGCGTCGGGCAAAAATGCGGGTTTTGACTGGGTGGAGTTCTCATAGTTCTTCCAAGTGATTCCCTTTTCCGATAGCTGCTCGAAAATGGACTTTTGTGGCAGCGCAGAGTTGAGAAAGTCGTCGTCATTGTGGCCATGGCCATGCGAAGTGCCAGAGGTCAAGTAGGCACGGTTGGGGTTTGTAGGGCCCGGGACTGCAGCAAACCAGCGATCGAACAAGACAAAGTTCTGAGCGATAGTATTGAACACGGGGATATGATCTGGGTGGAAGTAGTTGATAGCCTCGGCTGCCCGGTTTAGGTCGTCCTTAGGGTAAGAGGCACGCTGCTCACTGATGAACCCATCCATGGAGGACATGGCTCCTGCAAGGGGGTGGTAGGTGCCAAAAACTTGCATGTTACCACCCGCGATGCTGTGATTGGGGTCGTCCGATGCGATGTTCTGCGCATTGGGGTTGGCGCAGACCTGGTCGGAGGGGGAGGAAACATTGGCAGGGTTGCAAAATTGAGGATTTCGCGGGCCATCGATGCTGGAATCATAGTCAAGACCTCCAGCGAAGTGGTCAAATGACAAATTTTCCTGGACCAAGACCACAATATTCTTGATGTTGCTCATACCCGACGAAGCGGGCATCGCAGCGGCACCAAGACTTAGGGCAACCAAAAATAGAAAGCCCGCCATGTTTTGAGATGAGAATAAAAAGGTAGACTTGACTTGACGAACCGACAAGCTTATAAGTATTTCATTTCATTTACTTTCATTTTTGTCTTTTATTTTTCACATTTCTTTGAGCACCCTCTTAGAAACCCCTTTCATCGCATGTGCATGTCACAATTCTGCGAGGTCACCCACGCGTGTCGATCAAACAGTTCTGAGTCCCCCGCGTCGGGGCATGCGCCACGAACACACTATCATTGGCCAGGTATATTTCCAGTAAGAGAGAGAGAGAGAAAAAGGGTCATATGTTCTTAGTTACTAGTATTTGTAACAACTGATATAACTTTTATTTAGTAATATTATTAGCGTGCTAGTTGGGAATAGAGGGTGCAATATATCCTGATCCTGCAAGCATGATTCATACATAGCTACATCGCATACATTCGATCGAAGATTTCTCTTGGATTAAACCCCTTGTCTCGCTTGAAGGTTATTTAAAATCCTAATAACGTTCTCGTCACCGCAAATTCACTCGCTGCGGGATGTGTTTAATGCGTTTGTTCGCAATCAGTATTATTCGATCACTAGTTTGCTGATCAGTCTATCTTATGACTGTTATACTTCATTTTGAATAACCCTAGCACGTTCCATGATCAGGCGGACTGCATTATTATTTCCTTGTCCCCGCGAAATGGTCACATCCCTGGCTCTTCTGTATATGGTCTCGCCCGCTTTCACCTAAATCAAGTTGAGGGGTGAAGTAAGCAGGATGTCAATACCTTGGTATGAATTTCAGCCGGTCGCAGAGTAGTTGGGCCAAGTCGCCTGGTAAGTCTCATGATAGAACCAAAGACCAATACCAGACCTTTAACGGCAGGAAAGAGAAAGAAAATGTAAATGATCAGCATAAGCACTAGAGACGTTGGCACCCAAGCTTGGTGAGATGCCTATCTCCTAAGTTGTTTGTTTGATTGAGGTTAGAAGGGGCTATGTGGAATATATACAATCGGATTGAATATAGAACAATAGATATCGGAGAATTTGTGCAATTCTGAAGTAAACCTAAAAGTTCATTGACCCCATATCCAAACCATTCCTCCATGAAAGATGGTCAAAAACCTCAAACACCATGTTCACAAGTTGACAACCTCACCGTGAAGTAGCTCATCTTCTTGGAGCCGTTTCAAGTACCTAGCCACCTTCGTTGTCAATTTAGAAACCTCATATCCGAAAAGCTTGTGTGCCGCCTTGCCTGGCAGACTATGGCCAAAGCGTGTCGCAGATGCCCGCATCTGCGTACCGTTCCCACCCATTTAGTGCATAGGGCTCAATCACCACAGCTGGTATGCCCCGGTGTCGTTGCAGCGGGTTACGCTTATAATCGACCGACTGTTTCTCAAACAGGCGCTGGCAAGGGAAGCTCACAACGCGCGCGGTAATACCTTTCTGCACCTTAAGTTTCTCAGCAACCTCCACTGTAAATAAAGGGCTCAGCTCCAACCCCGATCAAAGTCACAGTAGCCGGTTCCCATTCGGACAGGACATACGTGCCCAGGGCTATGCCATCTCAACGCGTCTGGGGGAGCTGGGGCAAGGCTTGACGGGAGGTAGAAATGATACTTGGGGTCTGTTTGGCACAAATAGCAGCAATCCGTGCACCAGCCATCTCCTTGCTATCACCAGACGGATGTACAAGAGGTTTGGCATCGCGCGATACAGGTTAGCCAACTCAATAGGCTGGTGGGTCGGTTCATCCTCGCCCATACCAATAGAGTCGTGGGTGAATGATTTGGAGTCGCTGCAATGCGCACATTCGGACCGCGGGTGCAGCATACAAGTACAACATGAAGGAAGTCGACGTGATCGGAATGATGGTGTTTGGGGAGTAAGCTGCCAGTAGACCTCTGCAAAGTCCATAAATGGGCCCGGACCCCGGGCCTAAAGCCCAACCCAGCCAGCCCACAGCCCATTCGTGGAGGCCCACAAGGCCCCCATTATAACCCACGGGGGTTCAAGTAGTAACTTGTAATCGCTGTATTCTGACCTTCCACTTATCCTATAGAGTTTGAACTTTTAAAATTTATTAAAGTGATAAATATGTATGTATTTTGATTTGAATAAAATCTGCCTTATAGATATTAAGATACCGCGAAAAAGGTTAATA